TAATGTATATTATAAATGGGATAATAATATTCCGGTAAAAGTAATGGATAAAAATAAGTTTTATTTTACGTATGTTATTATATGTATTAACGTTTATAAGTTAAAAATTGTTAATTGTTATTATTGTAACGTAATATACGTATGCGTAAATATTTATGCGTTAAAGTAAATTAATTTTTTTTCGGTATTATATACCGATATTTTTTATATTAATGTATTAAGTTACTTTTTTATGGCAGTTTTTAATTTATTAAAATTTTATATTAATGATTTATTTAATATTATAAAATTAATAAATGCTTTTAAATAATTAACATTATATTTTTTTATATAAATGTTTTTTTATATTAACGCGTTTTATAATGTTAATTATAATTGTTTTAATATAATTTTAAAATTATTTATTATAAAACTTTTAAAATATTTTTAATATTTATCTATTATTTTTTTAATTATATAAATATGTAATTTATTTTTATTAATAATTTTAAAATTTATTAATATTATTAATATTTAAATTATTTTTTATTTAAAAATAATTATTTAAAGGTTAATTAATTTTTATTTTATAATTATATAATTAAATTATTATATAAAAAATATATATTAATCGGAAATAAAAAATAATAAATTTTTTAATTTGTTTATGTTTTTTATTTTAATTAAATTGGTTATTGTGGCGTAAGTTTATACTTACGTTAAATTTTTTAATTATAATATTATAAAATATATAAATTATATAAAAAATAAAAATACGGAAAATAATAAGTTTAAATTATAATATAATAATAAAAATTTAAAAAGGTTATGTAATTATATAAAGTAATAATTTATTATAAATAAAACGAAATATTTTAATAAAAAATTAAATGTTATTATTATATATATTATTATGATAAAGTTTTCCGGATTATTGTAATAATAATTTTTTTAACTTTATTAATTTATATTATTATTATTTAATAATATTAATTAATATTAATAAATATATACGTATAATAAAATAATAAATAAAGTAATTAAAATAATAATGGTATTAAAATTAATATATTAAAAATGTTTAAAAAAAAGAAATTATTTATAAAATTATGTTAAAAATATGGTTTATTTATATGTGTATGTTTTTTTTTTATTATAAAAAAATGACTTTCTTTTTAATCATTATGTAATTATTATTAACTTTAAATTATTAAAATTAAAATTATTTTATATGTTATTATAATATATTAAATTATTATAAATATAATATTTAATTTTTTTATTATTAATAAAACTGTTAAAAACTTTTATAACGTTATGTAATTTTAAATTAAATATTTTTAAATGTTTTATCCGTGATTTATAAATATAAACACACGGATTACGCGTTACGTAACGCAAGTAAATATAACCCGTTTTAAAAATATTTAATTTAAAGTTATTTAAAATAATAATTAATATCGTTAAATAAAACTTGTTTTATATAACATTTTTATTTTATTTATATGTGTTTTAAATTTTATACGATAAAATAATAAAAAAAAAAGTCGTTAATTATAAAGCGATTTTAAAAATTTAATTAATTAAAAAAATTATAATAATATTAATAAAATATATAAAAGTTAATTATATAACATAAATATAATTAATTAATTTATTTATATTTTTAAAATATTAATTAAATATAATAAAATATTTTTTAAACTTTAAATATTTATATGTTTAATAAATACTTTATGTTTAATTTATTTAAAAAATTTACCATTAATTTTAATTAAACATATTTTTATAAATTTATTTTATCGTGTTTTATTAACATTTAAAAACATAAAAATAAAATTAAAATTAAAATAATAATCGTATAATTATTTTAACAATAATAACATAAACTATTCGCTTTATACTTAAATAAAAGTATAAAATAAAAACAATTAAAGCATAATTTTTTTGCAAATTTAAAAGTTCAAGTTTTAAACATGTCTCTATGTAATGGCGGGGCATTTGCCAATCAGAGCGCGGGGCTTTATGTATTCGGTACGAAGTACATGTACTTGGATAACTTTAGTACAAATAAAAGTAAAATAATAAAATAAAAGTACAAGTTCGACACGCGAAACAAAAATTCATCAAGCCAAAAACTTGCAACATTTTTGTAACTTCACTGCAAAATCCTCAAAATGGCGGATGGACAACTTGTTGAGGATAACAAGGCTACTACAGTCGCAAGTAGCCTAGGCGAGTCTCTGAAGCACGATGCTAATGGCAGTGCACATACCGAGACTGATGGTCCCGCGTCTAAGAGACAAAAGCTTGATCATGAAGAGACAAAACAGGAAGACCGGCAAACTCAGTCGAAGGACAGAACCCGAGGTGTTGCGCCCGTGAAAGCTGAGTAAGTTTAAGACCCGTTCGCATCTCTACTCGGAGTTAACAAAATTTGCTAGATATCTTATCTCTGCTGAGGCTCAAGCTAAGGTCGTGGATGATGATGCAGCAGAAGCTGGTATCGCCACAAATGATTCTGTCAATGGCAAACCTGATCCTCGGGACGGCCATGGTAAGAAGGGAAAGAACAGGAAAAAGCAAGGCGGTCAAAATCAGAACCGCAATTTTGGCAACCACGAAGATGCATTCCGCCTATGCAACAGCATTACCTACTCCGACGAATTCTCACCTAAACCGTGTAAATTTGGCGAAAGGTGTAACTTATCTCACGACCTACGCAAGTATCTCAAGGAGGGTCGACGTGAGGACCTCGATACTCTCGATGGCAAATGCCCTGTTTTTGAGAAGTATGGTAGGTGTACCGCCGGATGGAAGTGCCGTTTCGTGAAGAGCCACTCTAAGGAAGTCGAGCGAGAAGACGGACGAAAAGAGCTTATACTTCTCCGGAATAGTGATGCTATGGAAACTGACGAAGACCCCGATCAACGACCGGGCGTGGTCAACGTCGTATCTACCGATACTAAGTGGGATCTGGCCAGAAGAAAGGTCAAGTTCGAAAAGTCTGAGCCGTATATAAAATGGCTAGAAAAGGATACTGAGCTTATGAGACAAGTACACAATCAAGCCAAAAAGCAAGAGGGTGACGGTACAAATGCTGATATCAGGGAAGAGCTCCGGGCTCAATTCGTGGACCCGCCCCTTAAGCCATCCGAGAAGAGGAAGATTTACTTCGGGAAGGAAACTCCGGTATTAGCCCCCCTAACTACGCAGGGAAATCTACCCTTCCGACGGCTATGCGTCGAATTAGGAGCTCAGATTACATATTCGGAAATGGCCATGGGAATGCCCCTCGTACAAGGACAGAAGGGCGAATGGGCACTTATGAAGGCCCATGAGTCGGAAACTGTATCCCCACGATTTACACCTAAGCCGGGCGCAATCGTAGAGGATTACGACAATACGAAAGACCTCAAATTCGGAGCCCAGATCTCGGGTAATCAACCTTGGGTGGCAATGAAAGCAACTGAGGCCTTGACCCAATTTCTTCCTCACCTTCGAGTGGTAGATTTGAACTGCGGATGTCCCATCGACATGGTATACGAGTCAGGTGCTGGCTCTGGACTTCTTGACACGCCTAGCAAGCTGGAGAAGATGGTTCGAGGTATGAATGTCGTCTCTGGAGAAGTGCCTATTACAGCAAAGCTACGAACAGGGGTACGGGACGGGAAGCCGACAGCAGACAGGTTAATCGAAAGGCTTGCCTTTGGGGGTCCGGACACACGGGACAGACTTGGAGCACCCGGGTGCGCGGCCATTACATTGCACGGACGAAGCAGACAGCAGCGATATACGAAAAGTGCGAACTGGTCTTACATCGCCGAATGTACTAGCCTAGTTAAGTCATACAAAGCTAAGAAGGATGAGATAACGGACACGGCCAAAGAAGCGGATGAGAGCACTCAGGCAAACACGGCCGGCGGTAAAGTCTACTTTATCGGCAATGGGGACTGTTATTCACATGTGGACTACTTCGAGCATATTGACAAGGCCAAAGTTGATACTGTCATGATTGCGCGAGGCGCTATGGTCAAACCGTGGTTATTCGAGGAGATCGAGAAGGGTCAATATCTGGATAAGTCTGCGTCCGAGCGACTGGGCTATATAGAGAAGTTTGTCCGTTACGGACTGGAAGCATGGGGATCCGACGAGCTGGGTCTGGGCTTCACGAGGCGGTTCTTACTTGAGTGGTTGAGCTTCACGTACCGATACGTGCCCATTGGGGTCTTGGAATATCTTCCCCCTAGCCTCAACGACAGGCCACCGCTTTACAAGGGACGGAACGAGCTCGAGACTCTTCTAGCAAGTGACAACTACAAGGACTGGATCAAGATCAGGTACGTCTCGATTTTCCTTCCTATTTTCTGTCTTTTACTATATCGAGTATACTAACATAAAATGCAGCGAGATGTTCCTAGGCCCTGCTCATCCGGGTTTCAAATTTCAGCCCAAGCATAAGTCTAACAGCTACGAGATTCAGGCGGAAGGATAAAGTCTAGTTTATCTTGATGGGTTATGTATTGACTCATTCGGTTGCAATCAAAGCCCTAAGCTCAGATGATATTCCTATTTCCAAGCAGTTTTGCTAGCAGATAGATACCTGTGTATCACAACCAATACAATGGAGTAATTTGCTACATTTGGTATGAACTGTGGCGCAGAACACGCGGCCCTCGGCCTTCCATCGTAACAGGCCAGATCGCATTTGCTTCTGCATGGTACAGCAGTTAGGCGGCAGCAGACCTACACGTTTCAATAGAGAATGAATAAACCCATTCGGAATATTTCTTGATGTATGGCTGAAATGACATTGCAAGTATACCAGTATTTGTGACGTATGATTCAAGCGGATTGTGGTAAAATGATACGGATGTTGTCTGACGGCTTTAAATAATGTGCTTAGGTAAAAGCAGCGTTAGGTAGGTACCTACCTTAGGTAGATTTGCTGTGTAACTGCAACGTCATTTGTTCCTCAGTAAGAGCTGACGTAGTTGACTTCCAAGCTTTAATACTACATAATTGAACCTACCTACTAGGGTACCTGCCACTTTCAGCCCCACCACTCACCACCTAAACCAGCTCAGCAGCAGCAGCCAACAGCCAGCCAGCAGCTATCACTCGGTAACAACTTCTCGTGAGACAAGGCCACCTTTCGACCTTTTTCACCAATTTTCCCTCATTTTCCCTTAAGACTCATTTATAACCCAAAAGCTTCATTGCAACTTAAGACAGGAATCTCTACCTGATCTTCGTCTTTGATACGTCGACAATTACCACCATCTGCATATATCGACAACTACGTCAATTTCTCCCCTTGACAACGCACAAACATTTGGGCATTGCTGCACTAAGTAACACTACACACACACACACACACACACACACACAAAATAATTTCCTTCCCGACGCTTCCACGAGCTGTTCGCCCAAGATGACGCTCTATTACTCGCTTGTATGTTCCGCATCCGCAATCTTCCTTTGAAGCATTCTCGAACAAGAGTCTATCGAATGCTGCTAGCTGTTGTGGCCCACGATGAATGTATTCGACTTGCTAATTTTGGACAACCAGGTCTTCGTGCTCCTCGTAGCGGAGATGTCCCTCTTCATGCTACTCGTCGTCCCCATGCCATTCACCTTCCGACGGAAGATGTTTACGTACGTCGAAAATGAATATTCTCTCCCGTCTAAATAATTTGTAGCGTTTGCTAACCGTGTGTTACGAACTACTACAGCTTCCTTTCCGAAAACCCCGTCGTTGCTAAATTACAGTATTGGCTGAAAATTACCTTCGTTTTTATTCTTATCCTCTTCCTAGACAGCGTTAACCGCGTCTACCGCGTGCAACTCGAGCTTGCCGCTGCCACCGACACAGCGAAGGGCACTGCGTAAGCTTCCCCTCCCCCCACTAACTCTCCCGCTCTCCCATAACCTTATACTAACCACCCCCCTAACAGAGCGGTGATGGGCCACGAACGTCTCGAAGTTCAAGCCCGCAAGTTCTACAGCCAGCGGAACATGTACCTGTGCGGTTTCACCCTGTTCCTATCGCTGATCCTGAACCGGACATACACGATGATCCTAGAGGTTCTCCGGCTCGAGGAGAAGGTTAAGCAGTACGAGGGCACGGACCGCAAGACCAAGGAGAGCGAGAAGCTGGCCGAGGCCGGTAAGCCCGGCGAAATCGCCCGCCTCCGTACCGAGATTGAGAAGCGCGACCGCGATATCGAGACCCTCAAGAAGCAGGCCGAGGGCTTGTCCAGGGAGTACCACGACCTCTGCGAGAAGTATGGCGAGACCCTACCTCCCGCTGGCACCCGCAAGGACAAATAAGCTTTCGATGCGTTGCTGTGATGCCGCGGGTCTAGTGCTGGAGCTGTAAAACACTATCTGAGGTGAATTGAGAAGTGTGTGGATGTGTGGATGTAGGGTAGATGGCATATGAGTTCCGAATTTCTTTACCAACGTCCGAAGCGAACATCTCCGTTCCGCTTCCGAGGCTCACTGGCGTATCGGGAGAAACTACGGGTCAAGGGAAATATTTGCATCCTCGGTTGGACCCGGACTGGTCCGACCAGATTGTTTTACTATATGAGAAACATGGCTTTGACTACGTGTGGATGGCCTGGTTATTCTACTCGGCGGCTGTACGCTATATTAGAGGATGCTGCTCCGATGAATAGGAAAAATCTGGTTTTCCACCGCATCAGTCTGCAAGATGATTTTATGCGTGACAAAGAGGACTATTGTGTGATTTGATATGGCATAGGGGTATGCCTATTATATTGGTTTGAAGTGCTAATATTCCTATCTATATTACTCTAAACGAGTTTAGAAGGTATGGACATGCTTTCTTGCAACTGACTACAATGAATAACGCTGCGAACAACGAAAGAAAAGCTAATGAAGAGAGAGATATGTCCTGTCTATAAGTCAACGGCGTATCCCGCTATACATAGAAATATGTCCTTAGCACCCCGCTTAAAGAAGTGGTTAGCAGGAAGAGGATGATACCGTAAGTATAACTCATAATTCCTGACAGTTGTTGGTTATTGAAAGTCTAGTAATCCCAAGTAGTGACGGTAAAGTCCCAGTTTATCACAAGCAGTTAAGTCTCGCTCTGTATAATACCTTACTCTAATAGACAACGACCGATTTAATAGTAATTATCGGCCTAGCGTCTGGTTATCTACATGGTAATAGTTTTCACAACTCAAAAGGCCTATGTTATGTATACCATTAGGATAGTTAAATCCATTAAATTCATAATATCTATTCCTCGTCTTGCTAAATTAGCAGTATGGCATAACATAGCATATAAGTTTCCGGCCACTTCAATAAATGATGTTGGCACCAAAAGCACCCATAACATAAACGAGGCCAGACAGGTCAGGTACGCAGGTAGCTGTTTTTATCGAGCAACCTGCTTCTTTCTTCTCTCTTTTTTATCTCTCGGTCTCAGTCTCAGTCTCAGTCTCTCTCTCCAGTATAATGCCTCCAAGCGCCGCGCCGCATAGTCATCTGGCTTCGTCATCCGTGAGGAGTAAAAAGGGGGTATCTTTAAAGCGAGGGCAAAAAAGCGAAAAAACAACAAGACATTAATAAGTGAAATGAATAGAACCTCCAACCCCCCAGCCCTTATCCGCGTTAAGATTCGTGATGCAAGATGTGAAACATATCTTTCCCGTTCAAATTATATAGTAGAAACGAAAGACGGGGGAGGGGATAGCCTGCTCTCTATGATTGGTTCATCTCATGTTGCCTCCTTAGACCGTGATGTTTATGGTCCTACGCCCTTCGGCTTCCTCAGCCTGGAAACCGAACACGAGCTTGAATAAGTCTCGCAAAAACCCGTATTGACTCGAGCGGTGCGTCATCCATTCCACGCTCTTGGCTACGTCGGCCGCCGAGACACGTTTCCCACGCGGCGGTAACGCTGTAGCTTGTCGAAAGGGGGAATCGCCTACTACTAGGTTCTTGTAACTCTGTAAGAGCGCCGTGTGGCTTGGCAACGAGCCGAAGGATCCGCTCGGCAATGATTTCACGAAGGATTGCAACGATGCTGCACTATTGTGATGGTGTCCGTCCGGCCCGCTGCTCTCTCGTGAGAAACCAACATTTAACGCCGCCTTCAGGATAAGTACCTTTATGCGTGTGATGTTAGGATCCTCGTTCGTCGTCGCTGTTGTGGCTGTGCTGGACGTCCTTTGGCTGCTCTGTGAGTAGCTCGAGAAATTTGAGGCGCTGCTAGACCACCTTCCGCCCCTATTACTTTCTGTTCCTAGTACTAAGATGTTCGGTACTTGCGGTGATTCGGTATCGGGAGAGACCGGTGTGTCCTCGAACTCGGTCACGGGAGTCTCGGGCACAGGTGGTGGTTTCCGTATTGCCTTTCCTCCTTGGGATGAGTGGTTCTTGAGGCTACCTGTCTTCGAGCGGTTCGAAGCTCTGCTCTCTCGTCCATCTACCATCTCGGCTATCTCCCGTTCTCGGTTAAATGAGAAAAAGTTTGCCTGACTAGGACGTGGTGTCCCCCTGTCAGGTCGAATCTGCGTCCATCCTTCCCTAAATATGTCGCAGAGCTCCCAACAAGCTTGGACCGCAGAACCAAGAAGCTCTCCGTCCGGCATTCTTCTATCCCTCTTGCTCTGTCGTAAGCTAAATAGCATCTCTGCAAGAGACCAGCAGGCGGAAAGGAGCGAGTCTGTCTCCTCGCCCAACTCACCGCGCTGCTTCATGAGTCGATGGCATAGCGTGATATAGAAGTCTAAAGTCCGCTCTCGGAAAGCCTCCGGAAGAGTTCGGTTGTCCTGCGCGCTGTATAGACTGGATCATTGTTAGTATAGCCACTTCAAAACATCGTAGAATTGGTAAACCAACTGGTTATTGAGTTCGAAGCTCACGCGTAAAACTGAATCTGACACCTCGTCCCCGCGTTGCCGTATATCGAAGAGAGCCTGACAGAAATCCCGACACAAGTCTAAGTTTTGACGGACGTTAGAAGACTCATCAACTTCATCTCGGCTGTTGTACAACCGCTGGCATAGTTTCCAGCAGCATTTCCAGGCTCTTTCATGACCATCAGGAGTTCCTGATGAACTGAATACTCTTTCCCGATGATGAGTGCTAAGACTTGCCAAGGTATTGCATAAGGTCCAACACTCTTGCAGGGCCGATTTTAAAGACTTGATCTCTACGTCCTCGCTGCCCTGCTCCTGGACGTGTGTGGCGTACTCCTCATCATCGTAGCTTTCTAGATCAGGTTCAGCATCTGTCTCTGGCTCCTTAGATTCTGGAATTACTAGCGAGCCGTTAGCTACAACACCGAAATAATCAGAAGAGCGGCTGTGCTAACATTCGAGGCTACTAGCACTGCTGGACCTGACTCTTGATGACTCGCTCATTATTTCCCGGAGATCTTGAGCCCTGGGTGTTGCACTATCAATACTATATCTGACAGGTTTGACGTCTGTCGATAGAGGGGGTGGTGTTGGTAGGCCAGTAGTTTTGGACTATAGGCATTAGTTTTCACCTTGACCATCTTCGGAGGACATTACCTTTGGGGCTTGTCTACTAGCAGGTAGGAATGCAGAATCCTCGGTTTTTGAAGAGATAGGAGACCTAGGTGATGTCCTCTCTGTCGATTCTGAGTACTTTGGCGAGTTGTCGGCAGTTTTCTACAATGTCACTTAGTATAATCTAAGCAAGATAGATCCCGGATTCTCGACTCACCCAACTCCGAAAGCTTTCTGGGGCGTGTATGACTGATATCGCCTCTTCGTTTGTTGTCTGCCGTACTTGATCGGCAATGTTCGTCCTAAGCATAAGCAGCTAGCTTAAAGTCAGCATTAATTCAGGTGCTTTCCCATCTTCAAGCCACCAACCTGAGGCTGCTGATCAGGGTTCGCTGTGGAGGATTGGGATCGAACCTCGTCAGATGCTTCGTCGTCTATTTCTGTTACCTCAGTCCCGACAGACGTGACTGGAGAAGGGCCGACAATATCGCTCGGGCTCATAAGATAATGATTGGCGGAAGATGGCCGGGCAAGAGCAGATGACGGTCGGAGGGAACCGGACTCTACAGAGCTAGTAGACCTGATTCATGTGAGCGTAAATCCCCGACGGCGACGTTTAGAATAAGTTAACGACGGACATTGGACGAAACTGCGAATGAGGAGCCGTAGACGACTCTGACGAAGATATAGACATCTCCATGTGTGGTGAGAAAGTAGATATTATACTTCCGGTTGATGTTCTCAACGGAGCTTCGAGAGCCATGGCTGGCTTGGCAATGCTGGGATGTGCTGGCCGCGGTGTAGGTCCGGCAGCGTTAAAAAGAAAAACTGCACTTGATAGCAGCTTTCTCTAAAATGTATTGCGAATGTATTGCGGCTGAGAAGGCCGTGGTGCGCTTATGATCCACGCGGCGACGGATATGTATACCACGTATAGCGGTCGCGTAATGGGTCTGATCTGGGTCCTTCAATGGCCAGAGACCCGGAGAACACAAGTTGACGTAGAGCTTGATGAACCAGGGGATATGAACAGTCCACGAAAAAGCGACAGAATTTGGATCAATCGTAGGCCTTAACGCTACCGGGGACTAAGCCGATCGACTTATGCGACACTCAAACTAAGGACCAACAGCTTGGTCGCTTCTAACAAAGGAAGATCCGTAGAAGTACGGGACAGGGGTGGAAGATGAGATGTACGTATGGGTTTTCGAGACGACAGAGTTCGACGTAACTGGACAGATTGAACGTGGTGGACTAGGTCGATTCAATTGCTGGTCTGAGGGAGGAGGGGCTATGAAGGACATCAGCATGAGATTTGTCGAGGGAGCTCCACTGCGACCTAAAGGACGTGGAGCGCATCCGCATACCCTAGGGCTCCTTCGAGGCTGAATTAGATATGAGGACCGAGATGATGATGTTGGGGAAAGATACCGATGAGGGGGAAATCCTGATTTCGCTGTTCTACTGCCTAAGTAGGTAACTTCTGGTGGTACGGAGGCTCTTCGCTTGTCTTATGGATGATGCTTCGGGCAGAGTTCGACGGCTTACTCTGGTTCTTACTCTGGTTCTTACTCTGGTTTGGCGGCCACCTTTGCGCTGTCCGGTTCCCAGCCTGCAGATGCGCGTCTTAAACTCTTTTGCACCTCGAGTGCAGCTTTTCAACCAGTAGGGAGATAGCAAGGGAGGGAGTCGGATGGTGGGCTGCAGGGGGGAGCGAGACAGGGGTTTCGGCGCTTAAGCCACGGATGGATCGCTTCAAATCAACGAGTCAAAATCAACGAGTCACAGAAGGGCACCGCGATCTCTAGCACCCTAGTCCAAGACTCGGAGAATGAGCTATTAGCCCACTTCATCCCAGCATGTCGGGGTAAAAGTGCACAAGGCGCAAAAGAACACGACAAGCCCCAGACTGACCGTTGTAGTTCGCGATGATGTACCTAGCCAATAAATTGGCGACATGATAGCGTAGACCGAGCGTAATAGGCTCCATATTGCTTTTTTCCCTCGCTTCCCTCGGCTTGTATCACGACAGTTGAATCCGTTGCTAATACGTTGCGTAACCGGTGTGGTTTGGTATGGCTTAAGGCGATATGAATACACCGTAACATAGGTATATTTGCCTATGTGTGAAACGGATAAAACTAGTCGGTACACCCAAAGACAACTGGACCTGGTACGAGAGACGGTGAGCTCGTCTATCGCCCAGCCAGATGTCAAAGCTATCTTGATATACCTAATCACAAGGCTGCCCAATATGCTGCAGCATAATACATACATGTCGTATGTACTAAGGCACTAATAAATGCGTGAAAAAAGGCCGGTGCGAAAAGTTGCGAGTATTTCATGCATCATAAGAACCAATCCTTGGACAAAACCCGGTATGATAGTGTTCCCGAAGATCTGGTACCGCGTCTTTTATTAGCTCGAACTGGGTCTACCCATGTGGGCCGAGAAGGATTATTGGTGTATGAGCGTCGAGAGGGTGTGTGCACCTTGCTGTTAGGCTGGGCCGATCACGTATTGCGGGCCTCGACACTGCATACATAGTACACATCCGTACTTCGTACAGGCCATGGTGCTTCTCGAATGGCCATCAAAGCCGTGTTAGGCTCGGCATCCCGAATCCTCCGGCATCACTGCATCGAAGAGGACAGAAACACGACTGATATGGAAAGCGATGCTAGCTAGGATCTTTAGACTCGTTTTGATGTCACCGCCGGAGCCGACGACAAATGCGCAAAAGTGTAAAGGTGCTAGCAGCTAGCTTCCCTGACTGCTGCCTTGCCCTACAAGCCGAGCTGTTGGGGGCCAGAATTTCTATACGGCCGTTGACCATGTGTTGCTTCTCAGGTGAGCGGCCATTGATACTACTATAGAGTGCGATACTATAGAATGCAATGATGGGGCCAATTCGCTGGCCAGCTGTTCTTATCGGGCTGAAGCTGACGAATCTGATTTTTCCTGGTTCCGTTTGTGTTACCATGAGAAAAGTTGTAGGTTACAAGACCGTTGAAAGGTGTTGGAAGTCCCGGACCATTGTCCGCTAGGTTAGGTACCTAAGGTATACCGTACCTCTCGAACTGCTGCTGGATCTTTCCCTAACCCTAGTTTATTTTTTAGTGTCGCTTGGGGTATCTGTCTATAATTCTATTGGCTGGTCTTAAAGTTCGCCAATGGCAATTACGTAAGGCAAAGGAACGTTTAGGTACCTAGGCATATGCTGTTACCTAGTTTCGTACCTACATAGGTAGGTGACATGCATACATATGTATAAGAGGTATTCAGATACATAATAGTTAACGTATACCAATTAATGGGCCCAATTCGTAGCAAATTAGGTATTCTAGGCACTTCTATACCCTTGAGGACGATAACTAATTGCAATGCCCAGTCTCTTGGAACATCGAATCGCCATATTTCTTAGGAGATACGTTTGTGTCTCCCTTGCATCTATTTCATGTAGCTATGGTACGTATCGTAGCATATAAGATCCACACTCGCTTGTCCATTGGGGGCTTCTTCCAGAACGTGGTGTTAGTCGTGCGTGCATAGGCGCCGTGATACCAACCTGCATATCGTTTGCTGCATGGAAAGCTGGGAGCTCCCTGCCATTTCAATCCTATTTTTTTATATTTTTTTTACCCTCGTTGACAATTAAGGCAGACCTTGCTTAATAATTGTCGGAGGAATTACCTAAGTATATTAATTCAAGGAGCAACGTTGAATTCGTTTTTACATAAGACTAACCAGATATTATTATCAATTGTCATATAACTTACCTAAGGTAGCCAATAAGATATATATTATAAGATGGAACATATAGAAATATAGTACCCGGATAAGTATCCTTTGCCGTGTAAGATGTTGGAACAAAGTGCATCAATTAGCGTCGAAAGGGCATGTTTGCTTTTTAGCAATGAATCGATACGTAAACATGCGGTCACCAAGAAGGATTTGACGCCGGTTAGGGGATATGAGTCCAGCTCAAGTTCAATGTGTAGCGCTTGCGGCTGTTTTGGCGGCGCCACTTGTGAAAGCCAACGTGGCACTATCCCCTAGGATGATCAGTCATGACATGACAGGCGAAAACAATAGCCCATTTTAAAGCAAGGCACCGATCGAGTCCTTTTTCCCGGTGGAGAGATGCAGAAGAGCGGATTCGGTTCGTGATGACTATTTGTGGCTCGAAGCCTTGAGACAAACAAGAAAAGATAAACATCGTAGGATGTTAGCTAGGGTTGAAAATTAGTTTAGAAGCAGATTAGAAATATAGCCGCGGCTAACATGCATGGCGTTCTTCTTCGCGGCTATTCAGCATATGCTAACTCGAGGCCATATGGATAGGCCTTTCGCGTATAATGACGAAGCGGTCTGGCTTGCTTCAGCCTCAAGGCGGATTTATATATCAGCACGGACATCTCCAATACCCAAAGCAGATAAATTCACATTGCAGTCTGTCTAAACTGTCGTGACGCCACTTAAGCAGTCTCGATACGCCATCCTGGAACTGCCAGCCCAACGCCATAGAATGCAATCTTTGTGCCAATTATCTCGATCATCAAAACTATTAACCTTCATCCATACCAATACGATCGGAGCTCATCTCTGCTGTAGTTGGATCTTCTTGTCGTTTCGTCCGTCAGGGGTATACCTTACGTACATGTTAGAACATTGCTCTCAAAGATCTCACTTGACTCTAAATATGCTTGGTCTTACTTTAGTAACTTCTCGATGAGGTCAACGTGGGTCATGACCATTCGGCGACAGCAGTATCGCTTCAAACCTAGCGAGTCCATGGCATCGCTTTGAGAACTGGTTAGTACAAAGTGTGAATATAAAGAGTAAGCGCAACGAACCCATCCTGGACGCCTTCATCGATGAGCTTGAGATATCGCTCCCAGAGGTCTCCCGTCACCTATTTATCCTTCAGTCAACACAAAGCAAGTCTAGCTGGAGAATAACAAATGCTTACCTTCCCGCAGGAAAAGCATCGAATAGGAATAATCATCTTGTCGAATAGAAATATGCGTCTCGTAGAATATCGTGAATATCGCTGTTGGGATCGTTCTGTAGAAGTCGTAGCTAAAAGCGCGATGTGTAGTTGACCGTCGCGAAAAAAAGAGCGTGGTGTGGCCAATGACTGTGAAAGAAACCTCGAAGTTTGCGAAAGAGAAGTTGAATTGAATGGAAATTTGTTATCGATAAATGAATGCCAAGCAATCTATTTTACATATGTAGATCATGCCACTTAAATCACTAGTTCCACCAAAACTCTCTTATCGGATCACCTTATCGCGTTGTCCCGCAAAAAAATCTCGTGAACTTTTTGTTGCTTTTGGTTTGTCAATTTTGGCGACGCTTAAAAGCTGCCTTTTAATAAGCTGCAGCATTTGCTTTCAAAATGGCCCCCATAGCAATCAATGAAGTAAGCGAAATTTGCGCCAGAAAGAAGCTTTTATAATCTTGCTAACCTACAGCTTTTATTTCTTAGGATCTTAGTGCAAACAAACGCAAAAGGGATGTAGACGAGCACGGCAAAAGGAAACGACCGAAGCGAGACTCACAGAACGCCATAGCGGGTAAAGGAAAAGGCTCAGCAATACTGTCCAAAGAAACCGGCAATATGACAAGCACAATCTTGAAGTCTGAAGGCTTTGTTGTCAAATTAGAGAAGAGGCGGCACCGGACAGAAGAAGAGAAACATGGAGATCACTTGTCGACCTGGAAGGTTTCAAAGCCAATGGGCGGCCGAATTATGGATGTGGACCCTATATTGACGGAAGATGAGAAGTAAGCGCTGAATAGAGCCTGCCCGGGGAGCTACGGGTAGGATTGCGAGGCTAGGAGCTAACATGGATATCAGGCACTTGATACTTGCATACAACACCTCCATCCAGGTATACTCGACAGCGGATTCTCTTCTAATACGCAAGATCCAGCTGGAAGAGCTCGATGTGGAGAATATACCGGGACAGATCATGTCTATTTGCATATCTCCAAGCTCGCCGAATCTTATATGGGTTGCTTCGTCTGATGGTCATGTCTGGTTGATTGATTGGACGAACGGCCAAGGTTCCGAGACCTTATTCAAGCTACAATGTAGCTTTCTATCTGATATGTCTGTCGAACATATCAAGTTTGGCACGGAGTTCAGGGATGTGCCGTTAGTTGCTATCGAACATAAGAAGAAATGGCGGATCGTCGCCTGTGATGTGCGCCGATCCAAGTTCAAAAGCTCCAACTCGCTCTTAACGCAGGCCATGCCTATTTCAAATCTGCGTTCTGTTCGAAACGGATACGCTTTAATAGCATCAGCAGATCGTAACATTCTCCTTGGTACACTTAAGACCTCATCAATCCAGCACGTCAGCGAGCTCGAATACGAGTTCTTCACCCTTGACTGTAGCGACGAGATTGTATGCTTAGACGTACGAGCAACGGACCGTGTACATCTCAATCGAAAGACGCAAGTGGAAGCTGGTAATGAACCCGTAGTAGAAATCGTCGTAGGCTGTGCTCGTGGAGCTGTGTTCTTCTACAACGATATCTTACCTCAAATCCGTCGGTTACATAGCTCCAAGGGGCACAGAGGCTCCCTTCAACCCCGCAAGTATCACTGGCATCGCAAGGCTGTTCATACAATCAAATGGTCACGAGATGGTATGAAGCTTTTCCTCATTCTCAAATATTGATAATGGATCTCTAACTCAGTTTGTAGGTCATTATATCATTTCCGGAGGGTCCGAATCGACACTGGTATTATGGCAGCTAGACACGCAGAAGATGGATTTCCTACCCCATCTCTCTGCAACAATCGAGAATATCGTCGTTTCGAAGCGTGGCTCTGCATACGTTCTCCATTTAGATGATAATTCGGTCATCGTTTTATCGACAGCAGAAATGAAGCCGACAACATACATATCTGGAATTCAGACACCCATTTCCCCACAGCCGCTTTCCAAGGATGACCTAGTCAGAAGAATAGGCCAGTATACTCCCGACCGATTATTAAAGACGCCGGCAGCAGTCAGTCCAGTGGATTCCTCGCGGATTCATTTTTGTGTGGGGAACGGGCAACGATTAAGCCACTCTGGGAGCGGCCCCTCTACTCCTTTGATACAAACAGTAGATCTCACTACCTTGCAAGGTATCTCAAAGCAAGCCCTGACAAGAACAAACCCGACAGATGTGAATACGACAGCTAAAGGATATGCCATAACGGAACCTCGGGTCACCGGCATGGCATATTCAGCAGATGGGAAGTGGCTTGCCACTACTGACGAGTGGCAGCCGCCTTCGCGGGATATCAACTCTCTAGAAGGATCCCCTGCCGAAAGGCGTGAGGTCTACCTCAAGTTCTGGGCCGCCTCTTCGGAAGACCAGAGTCTGGAGCTCGTGTCTCGTATCAATGCACCTCATTACACAGGTCGAAGCGAACCTATTTACGGCCTGGCCGCGGATCCGCATGCGCATCGTTTCGCTACTATCGGTGAAGATGGAGTTGTTAGGTTGTGGGAACCAACAATCAGGCAACGCGACGGAGTACTAGTCAAGGGCAAACTAGGACGCCAGCTACATAGCTGGGGGTGTTCCCGAACTATATATCTTCAGGAAAACGAGGAACCGGTCGATCCAGATGCAATAGCTACCAGCAGTTCCATACGAGGCTCGGGTGCAATTTCTTTCTCCGAAGATGGGTCTACCATAGTCTGTGCTATTGGAACCGTCCACGGCTCGGCGATCCACGTCATCGATACAGAGTCTGGCAAGATTCGGAATTCGATTGATGGATTAATAATCGGGGAAATCCGCGATGTCAAGATCCTGTCTTCATCCTTAATTGTACTCTCAGATCGTCTTATAGTGTATGATTTGGTCTCCGACGAGCTACTGTACGGCGTTCAACTGAGGACAAACGAAGATTCATTCAGCCCAAGCGCAGCTATCTTGACGCATATGGCAGTTGACCAGAAGACTTCGACATTTGCGGTGGCTGTTTCACGGGGCAAGCCAGGTTCGCCCTTCCTCGCTTCCGAGCTGGCAGTGTTCTCTCCAGACCGAAGCGAGCCGGAGATAATTCACAGGTTCCCATACCCTATCACGTCAGTCGTTGCCTCGGTTGGGTCTAGTGGCTACCTTGTTCTAGACTCTGCCGCCCAGTTATGGTCAGTCAGAAGCGAAGGCATGGATACCAAATCCCTTGCCTTTGCCCAGCCACTAGTTGATCTCAAACTTGACCAAGTGAACACCGAGGAGCCTCGTGAAGATAGGCCTTCTTTGGCATTACTTTCTGGACAAGATGATGAGCCAGCAAGCGGGGACGAAATGGATGTCGATATGCCGGATGCCACGGCCGACGGGGACGGGGACGGTGACGAGGCTTATTCGGCTGTTATTCCACCACAAAAACTCTCAGAACTATTCGATACTGCGCCGGCGTTCGCGATGCCACCGATCGAGGACATGTTTTACCAGGTTACAAAGCTATTCTCGTCGAACTCGGCTGTTTCAGCATCATGAGTGTTGTCCGTCGAAAACTAAGATAGCAATTTAGAGACACACGCGACTTATAGTATCGATACTATTGGTTCTTCCATCAGTACTTTGTGGACAGGGCTCAATATCTAAGGAGATAGTTGCAGATACCATTGTTCTAGGAGCTTGTTAAGCACCGCCTCCAATTATTTGGAGAGGGAGAGGGAAGGGTTCAGAAGCCAAAGTTGAAGCTTGAGGGGTTAAGGACACCTATGAGGTACTTGGAGGCTTTACCGTTTTTGAGTTTCGTACCAAGATAGCCTTAGACGTCTCATACCAGTGAGTCTTTAGCTACTCGCTAAGACTCCTTGGACCTGGGAGTTGATCGAGCTGAGTTAGATGCGCTTTAGCGCATCTCGTGTGTGCATTTATTAGTGAAGACTTGTTTTCACCCCTGTCACATATGACAGGTCACAGAGGATACTAAAAACCAAGTAAATACCAAAGTTACCTCCTACTTTAATTGCAATATATAATACTCTTTGTTGCCACATTAGTCCTTGAGATCCTACAGCATAACGAGACGTGTTCCACTCCTTTCCCATTATCAGGTAGGTAGGTACCTAACTAAAAACCTGTTGACCTGATTGGGTGCAACGATAAATACATTCCGTAAAAGGCATGTACTAAACCGTCGCTGGTTCTTCTAATTGGCCACTTTCCTTGTTATAGCCGTAACTGGTCGTCCGTTCCAGTATTGCGTCCCCGTCCATAGGACGAGGCCGGGGCTGATAAAGAACAGTCTTGACAACGTAAAGCACAACGTAAAGCATCTCGGAGTATAGGCGAAACCCTGAGGAACCCAATGCTTAACTACTTGTCTACGACCATGTCAAAGTAGGTGGTTTAAAGGAGCAGTCCTACATGTAGACCAAAGGTTTGAACGATAAGCTCTACTTAAGCAGGGTAAATATATTATATTAAACTATTTGTAAATTAAAACGGTCAAATCCCAATACCACGACTTTTTACAGAATATCCCGTCGAGAAACTCCAAAGCAGCCTTCAAAAACAGTTAGCAGCTTTTCCCTCCCGATATCTTCAGGCTCGCGCCAATCCCAAGTCCGATCTAATTATTTCCGCCGCATGCTCCGCGAGGGCATAGACGCTCGCCACGGAACTAGCACCGACGCTAATAGGGAAAATACTCGCGTCGCAGACGCGCAAGTTCTCGCACCCGTAGACCCGCAGGCGATGGTCCACAACGCCGCCTAGTTCCCGCGCCATCATCGAGCACGTCCCCGAGAAATGATGCGAGCCCGTCGCCCACTCGCGCACATACCGTCTCGCGGCGTCGAGGTCTGGGAACGACGGCGGCGACGGCGGGGCGCTGGGGTTGCGTTTCCCGCCGGGGACGATATGGTTGGCGAGGGGCGCTGTGGCTGTGATTGCTTGGAGGAAGTGCACGTGGCGCGCGAGGATCTCGACGTCGAGGGGGTGGGAGAGGGATTTGGGGTCGATGGAGGGGGGGGATGGGGATGGGGATGGGGATGGAGAGGCGGATGTTATGTGTACGGAGCCGCGGGAAAGGGGGTACGCGAGGGTTATGATGGCGGAATAGTATTTCTCGTTGCCGGGGGGTGGGCCGGCTATTGTGCCGTCGGCGGCGTAGGTTGCGAAGCCGGGGATTGTGAGGTATGTAGCTGAAGGCTTGGTAGGCGAGATAAGTACCGAGCTTACGAAGTTTTCATGTGCCTTTGCGAAAGCTTCTGTTGTCTTTTCTGAGTCGTTTCGAAGACCCTTGTTACTTAGTAGTTTCTCGATCTCCTGTTTGCCTTCGGGGGTTTCGATTCCGGGCACAGGCAGTTGTGCCGCGACTTCAAGGTTGCCTTTTGTTCCGAATCCGATCTGTTTCTCATAATCTGCTTGTACGGCAGCGAAAGCAGGTGCTTCGCCCCTTAGAATACCATCCATTGTCTCGAAGCCTTTCTGATCCACAACCTCGAAGCACATACCAACAGTGGGATGGTTTTGAAGGTTTTCACCAACATGTTTGTTATCGACTATCACATTGATTCCGAGCGATTTTAAGAGCTCCGCGTCTCCAATGCCGGATAATTCGAGTATTTGCGGGGAGTTGATTGCACCAGCACTGAGTACGACCTCTTTCCGAGCTGTTGCTATTTTGATTAATCCGCCTTGACTATACTGAACACCAGTCGCCTTGGTAGGTTTTGATCCATCAAAAAGGACCTTCTCTACATGTGTCTCAGTATAAACAGCCAGATTAGGCCGCGGCCGCGCTCGCTGAAGGTATGCATTGCCAGAGTAGCTTCTCTGCTTGGTGGCATGATCAATGCTAATAGCAGACAGATAAGCGCCATAGAACTCCCCAGAAAGAGAGTCCAAAGATGTTGGATATCCTAGGTTGGCCAGTGTAGCTTTCCATACCCTTAGCCACTCGGTATCTTCAGGAAAGCTAACTTCGAGGGGACCATTGCCCTGTATCTCCTCGGAAGTCTTTGTCAAGGTATACGTTCTTCTCAAGGAATCGGAGAAGGACGACCAGTCCCAGCCGGGATTACCCAGATCAGCCCAGGCGTTAACGTTGTATTTAGAGGGTGCAGCGAAAAGAAAGTTATTAAGTGCACTGCAACCCCCTAACAATCGTCCACGAGGGACAGTTATCTCTCGGTTTCCCAGTCCTATCTGAAGTAACTAATGAGCCGGTGTTTTTATCATGTTATTAATTCATAAAACATACCTGAGGGACAGTTCTGAATTGCCAGTCAGCGGAGCTACGGATGAGAGAACTCCCCAAAAAGGGGGTGCTAACTCTAGGATCCTCGGTTAAGTCCTCGCCGGCCTCAAGGACTAATATCTGCAAGCTAGGGTCCTCGGATAGCCTAGTAGCGAGCGCGAGTCCGGCTGTTCCCCCGCCAACGATTACCACGTCGAAGACTTCGGACATTGTGAAGAACAGGAATATGGCGAGCTCTACGAAACGCGCTAGCGAGTTGGAGAGACTAATACGACAATTTATAAGTTCACATCTAGCAAAGGCGATTCGGTGATAAGATTTATTAATCCCCAATTACACTGTGTACGCTCATTTTCGGATATTTTTCACGGTTACCGGATTCGTACATATCAGCCCATATGGTACGATTTGCAAATAGTGATATACATACAAATATATTGCCCAGGGGTTAGATCCATTGAGGGGCATACCGGCTATTGGTTTTTAATTTGAGAGTTCTTATTGGAAGAGAATCCAAGAGCCTCCCTTCTACCCTTGGTAGGTATTACTCGAACGAAGTTCTAGAGATCACTGTATTAATTGATATCTACGTGGTTTTCCTATTTGGGTATTCGCTGCTTCAATATCTTCGAGAGCCCGAGTATTGAGCTTAGTGGTCCTGCCGATAACCTTGGCAATAATAGCTCTAACATGCTATGCTTAGTAATACCGTTTCCATCTGCTATCTCAATCTTCTTGTCCCTAAATTCTAATCTAGCGAAGCCGTCGTCGAATACTTACCAATATATAGTATATCGATTCGTGTCATCTATACGCTAGCATCATGAGGGTAGGAAACCCCATATTTATCTAGTATTAATTATAGCTTTGATGTAAGAGTAGTGAGAGTGAATCCGCGTTAGTTAGAGAATTGCATATCGTGGTCTGGAATGCGAAATTAAATTTAAAACTTGGATTTTTCGTATCGAACAAGCACGAACAACAGAACCAGCATCGTTCGCTTACAATTTCATCCCAATTGCCTCTGCCATTTGCAAAGGACGCGGCATAAATAGCAACGATGCCAAACAAGTCTCCTTGTATGTTTGTAGCGCATCATTAGACGTAGTGATACCTATTCATAAAAATATCCTTACACTCTTCAGTCATTTTTGTAAAGAAAGCTATTTCTGAATTTAATTTTGGCTCCTTGGAATTTCTTGACATCCAATATGGAATATTTTCAAAAAAGACATTAAACGCTTGCGTAGTGGTTGGGGTGGGCGTGAAAAAAAAAAGTGTGTTGAAGTGGCCATCTGAGGAATCGAACCCCAGGGCCTAGCGATGTTCATAAGGATATTGTATTGCATAGGTAGTCGGTAGAGTAGTTCTTAGGTATGGCGGTATAGCGGAGAGTTATGAATGATTCGCTAGGCCGTTCCAACACGGCCATTGACCATTTGTTAAAACCCCTACTTGTTCTTTAGACTTATAAGTTCATCTTCTGTCTGGCAAAATACCGGATGTGGAGGGTGGCTTGGTATAGGATTCTGCTAGTTGTGGCTATTAAACTTTACTAGAGGGCAAACATGTAATTATTGTTTGAGTTGGCGGTTGAAAGTCAAAGGGCGTCATTTCTGGTCCCATGACTCCACGGACCTGATATATAATCTTATTGTGCGAGCTGGCTTCGTTTAAACATAGTAATGAAGCAAGAAAGTAGGATATATACAATGAGGGATGCTGTACTTGATATTTAAGCAAAGATTATTTGCCTAATAGGATCGTATTTATAGCTGGAGGCCTAGTCTGGGTTCAAGCGACACAGTTCTTAGTATGCGATAGACGAATAGGGGCCTATTAACAAGTGACTCAAGAAAAGGAATGTATCGAAACTTTATAGTTATGACTAACTAGTTAGATAAAAAGTAGAACAGAATTAAGGAGATAATAAGGCAAAACGTATGTGAAGAAAATGATATTATAATGGGAAATATTAAAGGTTCGATTTGTATAGAGTTAACTCTAGTTACTACTTAGTATAATTGGTGCTTACATAATGCATTGCTATAGGAGGTTAGGTATCTCCAATACTAGATAGAGTTTCTTTATTTAATAGCCAATGCCGATAAGCGGAATGACGCCATAAAAGAAGTGGGGGTACATCATGAGATACGAATGTACATGTAACATACGGTTTAGTTATAATATGTATGTATACGTATAGTTATTCAACTTAGTCATTGATACTTTTAGATTCCTCTTAAACTGCTCTTGTGCCTGGATCCGGCAGCTCGACTGATACCACTGATTAATTATTGGAAATATCTACAATGTCGTTCACTTCGATCCCGATATTGGATCTAGCCCTCTCTAGGGACGCGCAGACAAAGCCGCAGTTTTTGGCCGATCTACGACATGCCTTAATGGAGGTCGGCTTCCTATATCTCAAGAACGTCGGCATTCCGGACGAGCTCTGGCAACAAGTCATATCGGAAGGAAAGGCGTTCTTTGACATACCAAAGGAAGAAAAGTAAGTCTAAATATATATATCATATTAATAACGAGAGCACGCAAGAAGTATAAGTCGTTCTACAAGCTTATGCAAACCCGGATTTGAAGGCTTAAGATCGAGATGAAGAACGCGCCGTCATTCCTAGGCTACTCGCAGCTCTCAGCCGAGATAACAGCCGGCAAGATAGACCATAGGGAACAGATCGACCTGTCTACAGAGCACCCTATCCCGAAGCCCGACGCGCCGCTATACGAGAATCTACTCGCGCCTAATCAGTGGCCTTCGCAAGAGGTATTGCCCAACTTCCGCGCAGTCTACACCGACTACATAAGACGTATGGGTACTATCTCGATAGAATTCACATCCCTGATCGCAGAGGCCATCGAGCTACCTTCCGATGCGTTTAACCGGTATTTCGATCCGGATCAGCAGCACAAGTTGAAGATCGTTAAATATCCCGATGTATCCGAATTAGGGCTGGGTGACGGTGTTGAAGGCCAAGGAGTTGGTCCACATAAGGACAGTATGCTTACAAGTTACCTACTGCAAGCAAGTAACCACAGGGGACTGCAGGTCCAAAATATGCAAGGTAAATGGATCGACTGCCCACCGATCGACGGCACATTGGTGGTGGCCATCGGACAGGGCTTGGAGGCCCTGACGCAAGGAGTTTGCGCGTCGACAACCCATAGGGTCCTCTCACCTGAGGCGGGCAAGGGTGCGAGATTCTCAATCCCGTTCTTCCAAGGGGTCCGAGCCTCTACGACATTCGAGGAGTTGGACGAGGTCGGTGTCGGACAAGTACCAGAGGGGATCAAGCAGCGGCGGCAGAAAGTACTAGAGGCGAATGGAGGTAGGCTTGACGACGTCGAGTTTACCTTTAGGAAGGGCGGTGTAGCATCGACGCTAGGCGAGGCAACACTAAGAAACAGAGTCAAGAGTCACCCAGACGTGGGGGAGAGATGGTATCCAGACATCCTGAAGGACATACGAGAGGAGCAGGCCAGAGAGGCGGCTCAGAAGCAAGAGGCGCAAGGAACGTCGAACAATACCAACACCCCTGCGAGCGGAGGGGTTGCAGATATCAACGCCCAGGCGAAAGCAGTGGAAGCACACTAATAACGTGTGCACTACCATATACAAAAAGCGAATCATCAAGACGCGAGAAAATCTCAGTTAACTCAGTGCAATCTCATTAATCAAAGTCGCGTCGTGACCTCATATCAACACACCCATATAAGACCTCTCTGCTAAACACCAAGTGCGCCAATCGCTATGCCCATTGTTCACCTGTTCGATCGTTCCGTACAAATACGGACCATCGTTTTGTCTATTTGGCTGGAGGAGCGTCGTGGCCGGGGAAGCAATCGGCGATGGACTTATTGTGCTTATTGACAGCGTGCTCAGTGAGCCTGTGGGAGAGGACGGTTAGTTAGAGACGCACAATTGTGTATTATTAAAGTAATCTAGAAGGGAGTTAGTTACGTACTGAGGCGCACGGGTGGTCTTCAGGAAGGTCGATTTGCAGATCTGGCACTGGATATCCATAGCCTTGACATTCTAAAAGATCCCATGTAAGTCAGTGGAGATGATCTTCGTTAGAAATACGATCGTCATATCAAGACTTACCGACTTCAACTGCGACTTGGCGACCTTGCTGTCCTTCGCATTGCGCTCGCGCTTCTGCGCAGCCTTGGCTCCCTAATTGCGAGAATTAGTACGTTGTTGTCCTCTATTGTCGGAGTTGGCCGGCTTTCAGGCTGTCCCTCCTCCCGTCTCCGAATAGGAGCGTTGTTGGGACGCGGATAGGAGAACTTACGTTACCCATTATGTTAATAGAAGAAGAAAAAGGAAGGTAGACTCGACAGTAATGCAAAGACCCTCTTTAACTAGCGACTGAGGTATGGCGGTCGGGATGGCGGTTAGGTGTTGCGAAAGATGGGAAAATTCGGGGATTCAGGATGGATTTGGAAGGAAATAGATTTTACTTTTTCTAGAGCCGATGCAAGAGAGGAGCAGGGGTCTCGGCGCTAAGTTGAATCTAAATCTATTTTGGGGGCCGTTTTTACTTCTAGAACGTTTCGGGCAAACACACGGGCCACTTGCTCTTTTATCTAAAAGTTAGGAGGTATGTATTACCTAACACATCCTTATGTGATTTATTAGGATAGATTTAGGTAGTTTTTGACGCTACTATTCACATATCAGTCTATCGCTGCCTCTATTGCCTGACTGTCTTAGGTAAACAATTCAGCTTCATCGTTTAGAATACCTATATCAGCACATAAAGTCGTCTTGTTTCAAGTAAATGATTGCTCATAACTCAGGCCATCTTCAAATAAACATATGACTAAAGAATAGTAGTGTCATCAGTCTCACGTTCAGCGAGAATACCAAACAATCAAGATTTAAAATGCTGGACCAGAGTCTACTCCCAAACAACATCTCGCTTGAGCAATTCCAACAACTATTAGGCAGATATGAGTCTTTAATTGAGTCGATATCGTCAGCTAAAGGGGGTACGTGTTCGAGATAGTCACATACCTAATACTAATTAATATTCGCGGGGCTAATCACTACAAATAGCCAAGCCCGGCCAAAAGACTCTGCTGGAGCTGGAGCAATTCAGATACCGTGATGCCGTCACCGCATATGGCTCAGAGGGGTCAAAGAGCACAATGGCTCTTAACGACGTTAAAACCTTGGTTGATTGGAAGCTGTAAGTCTAGTCTGGTTTGCCAGAATACCGCCATTCGGCACGTCTTATTCTCGGGCCGTCCTGGCTCTAACTTATTAGTTCAGGCGCCATGGCAAATTCCGCCCGACCCTCATGAAACTCGTTTCCTCAAATGACGATGCACTTGTCGAGCGCATTATTCGGGAAGCGGTAGAAGAGTATCGAACCAGTTTAGATACGTCTAAAGCAGTACGCACCATCACGAATCTGAAAGGGATTGGCCCTGCTACAGCATCCCTTTTGCTCTCGGTGCATGACTCCCATGGTGTCATCTTCTTCTCGGACGAAGTATTCTATTGGCTATGTTGTAATGGACAGAAGTCTCCCATCAAGTACAACGCCAAAGAGTACCAGGAGTTAAGCACTACAGCTCAGGTGCTAGCCAAACGGCTAGGGGTTGATGCTGTTGATGTCGAGAAAGTGGCTTATGTATTAATAAATGAGGGAGCATCAGATGCGACGTCCGGGGATGCAAAGACTACTTCCCCGTCCGACGTCAAACCTGCACAGGTGGATTCATCAAGGAAACCGGCGAAGAGGAAGAGTAATATCTCCAACGACGCCACGGATCGTCAAATACAAGTTCGCCGATCAAAACGAGGCAAAGCTTCTTGAAGGCTAGGCACTCGATGCACTCAACGGGACCACTAAGAATTCTCAACCATTCCAAAGCTGCCACACCAATGCAATCTGGGACGCCGGGAACTGTATCTCAATTTACGTGATTGCATAAGCTCCCGTGTAATCATCGGCGAATATAGATGATACGACGTCGGTGAGCCCGGCAGGCTGTCTGACATATCCGGGATGCTTGAGGCTTTTCTGTCTTGTTGACATGTCAGCCTACTCAGCGTATGATCGGACCAACGGCCCGTGGGAGCGTCGTTCAGGAGCCGCATTGGGCTAACCAATAGCCAAGCCGCCCTAGACTCGTATCGGCTCTAGTAAATTGGTGCCAGGGTCTGGGTACCAAGCCAAGAGATCTCTATTTCGGAGTCCGTTGCCGAAGATTAACGCACCCAGGATACCAGATGCGGTTCAACGTTGGACAACGTGACAACGTCTGATTGCGTTTCCTTGATCCCTTCTAGACCATCCCTGTGGGTCTTCGCTTCTCAATGCCTAGCAATGCCTAGTATAATCGCTCCATATCTAGACGACCCAAACAAAACCTCTCTTTTACTTCGCCGTCCGACTACAGATGGCTAGTACTCGTGCCCCCCACGGGAGATTATGCACCCCCACGGGTGTATCGTCGCTGTGCTTCTTATACGTACTAAGAGGATGGCTCTCCCATATGAGTTTCTGCTCGTACATTTTGTTTTGGTCAGGTAACAAGGAGTTCTGCTTTAAATTTATGGGAAAAGAGAAATTCCTTTGATATACCTTGCTACGAAATTAAAGAATTAAATCCGACCTTACGCGGTATCGATGGCAGTCGACTTATCTCTACCAGACTTGGATCCTATTCCGCTTCCCGAACGATTCGCTAATATCAAGCGGAAATTGATTGCTGGCAACGAGAAAGCAGTTGCCGATTCATTCTATCGTCTTCTTGGTCGGTTGAGGAAAGAGGCAGAGCGTATCGTAGCCACTAAGTCCGATATAATACCGTCGATTGACTACCTAGATATATATGATCTAGCTAAGGTAGCCATTTTCCGGGACGCACTAAAGGAGAGAGGCGTTGCTATCATACGAAGGGTTGTCCCATCGAACGTAGCCGTATCATGGAAGGAGGAGACGCAGGAGTACCAAAGGCATAACCCGCCTATCAAAGGCATCCCGCGTCATGATCCGCAACTATACGAGTTATTCTGGAGTCCGGGGCAAGTTCGGGCTCGTGCCGACTCACGGCTACTCGAAGTACAGAGATTTATCATGAGAGTGTGGCATTCGAATAATGAGGAGGCCCTCGTGAGTAGCAACCACGCGGTAGCCTACGCAGACCGCATTAGAATGCGGAAACCCGGCGATACTTTTCTCGCATCTGGCCCACATATAGATAATGGGAGCGTAGAAAGGTGGGAGGCGGACGGCTACGGACGTGCAGGCGTCTACGCCAAAATCTTCCAAGGGCGATGGGAAGAATACGACCCCTGGGATAGCGGCGCCCGCCTTCGTGTAACTTCAGACCTCTACAACGGCGCCGGTTCGTGTAGTATGTTTCGAATGTTCCAAGGCTGGCTTTCACTATCCTCGATCCCACCTGGCGGCGGCTCCCTCCTCGCCTGCCCCATGCTCCAACTCACAACCGCATATCTTCTCCTCCGCCCCTTCTTCTCCCCACGCCTCAAGTCAGGCCCAAACTTCCTCCACGAGGATAACTGGAAGCTGCACGTGGCACAGAACAGCGTTATCCAGGGTGCCGTGCCAGGGAGCGGGATTCAGGAACTGAGCGATGCTCTACACCCGCATCTAAGACTAAATAAGACGATGGTGTCGATTCCACACGTCGAGCCCGGCGACTACGTGCTGTGGCATCCAGACGCTGTACATGCGCCCGACGCCATCCACGCCGGGGTATCAGACTCCAGCGTGCTGTACGTCCCTGCGTGTCCATTAACGCAGACCAACGCATTGTATCTGGCACGGCAGCGCAAGGCGTTCCTCCTCGGCGACCCGGCGCCCGACTTCGAGAGCGGCGGACGTCGCGGTGAGCGCGAGTACATGGGCCGACCCGGGGTCCAGGACGTCAACGACGCGGGCGGAGAGGAGGGCCTCAGGTCTATGGGTATGTTGCCGTGGGACGAGAAGGCAGGCTGTGTGGATAGAGCCGAGGCGGAGTTGTTGAGGCTGGCGAATGGGATATTGTTCCCGGATCGCTATGATATGATGGCGAGGAGGGGGGCTAAGAGGCTTTGATGTGGTGATTGGATTGTTATGATACTGGCTTGGGTTAATGGGTGCAAGGCGTGTTATGAGAATGGTTAGATCGGGTTGGGTTGGGTTCGGTTGGGTTGGATCAGGATTAGGAGGGAGTAATTTGGGGTTAGGATATTTGGTATTAGAGGAGGAGTTAGTTATACTAATGTCTGAACGTATACCTACCTAGGTAGGGTAATATATTATGAATTCCCCATGTAATCTAACTATTGGACTAGATACCTACCTATGGATGATATTCCTATGCGACAACAGTATAAGTGCTTGCAACAAGCATTTCGTACATACTACAGCATCAGGTCATTTTCAATCATTCACCACATACAACTCTCCATTTCTCTATCCCATCCCACCATACCAATACATTACCCCCTCCCCCCAACTCTCAATCCTCAAAAGTCGCGATGTTGTCCAAAAGCTCAAGCCACTACATGTACGTAGGTATATGAAGCCTCTTCACAGCGATGAAGTCCCATGGCTACCCAAACTCCGAAATTCCGGAATCTTACATCCACCGCCTTGGTAGCTCAATTGGCTAGAGCGTGGGACTTTTAAAAAAATAAAAAAAACCGGACTCTCCGGACTATAGAGGTATCCCAAGGTTGCGGGTTCGACCCCCGCCTGAGGCGTTTAGTTTTGCCATGAATGCCCACTTAGTGCTGTGGGCTACATGGTATAGTGCGGGCTTTTGCTCTTTTTTTCTTTTTTTTCTTTGAAGAAATGGGGAGTTGATTGGTTAAGTCTAGGGTTATATGGCCGGTCAGCCCTAACTATATATGTCATAGATTTTAATAGCTTTAAAGTACTGAGTCTTTAATTATATTCGGGTACTTCACCTAGGTCTAGGTATTCAAGATTCTAGCATTAAGGAGTTGACAATGGTTAGTTTCCAACTTTTTGAAACCAGTTGGATAAGGCGAGCTATGTAAGAAGCTATTAATAAGGTATTGCTAGGCGGTGGGCTAGAGCGAGACTAGCGCACCAGGTTCTTCCCCCCTTTTCTTGTCGGCCCTATGAAGACCATCAATGTTCACACAGGCCGCGATATAGCAAAAGCACTTTTACTGTTATCAGGGTATCAGTGTGAGGCTTGGCAGTTGTATAAAAACTAATGATGATAGATTTGAAGAGATTCCTCTTGGATAATTAGCTATGCATAGAATACCTAAGTAATACCGACTGCTACAAGACGAGGCGTCAAGGTCATTGCTTGAATCGCCAACCAGGCCTCTCCCATCTCCCCTTCCCCGTATGTCCTTTAGGCAAGAAGGACGGAGACAGCTTCGTTATCCCGCGAGGAACTCTAAGCTAACTATAGGAGCCTGTGGCTATACATACTGAAAGTGTCCTTTGTTCTAGATGAGGTAATCTTCAACTTCTAGTGCAGACCGTGTTTCTTAAATCTAGCATTGATAACTCATGATGAATACCACGCTTCTTCTTCAAAACGATTCCAGTGCATCATCTTCTTGGCTATTGCCAATAATGAATAGAGAAGAATGATTTATCAGGAAGTAGCAATCTTCAGGCAGCTCTCCTCTGAGAGGGTCTCACTGCACCCCCGTTCTAGCGTCAAGATAATTGCGATGAAGTTTTCCATGCCCTATTATGTCTAGTATTGCCTTGGACATCTTTGGGATGTCGTGACGGAGCAGAAAATTCCTAAAAAGTCTTTAATCCCCTGGATAAGGGTTTTCTGTAGGTGTCGCTGTATGTCTTTGGCATCTTGGAGTTGCCGTACGTACGGTATGTATGGGGTACTCAGGAACATTGCCAAGTAATAACAGCTTGAACCATGAGATGACTTCGTCATTTTCGCGTCCAGTTAGTCCCTAGGAAATTACACCGATAATATTGTAGGGTATCTTGGATTCAACCAGGGGACCTATACTAGGGTGAGCAATTAGATAGCATGAAGGGTGATAGCGTAGCTAGATACGTACGTAGTTCTAAAGTCGATCCTAATAATCAATACCTCGGAACGATCATCGTTAAAGGCCCCTGTATTGAATAGCTCCATAGTGGGTTATAGGTATGGAGAATAATAAGGTAAGTCGGTATATCATTAGTTAAAATCTTCTTTGGTGGTAATATGTAAAGCTCCAACTCTGTAACTACTATCGTTGAATTGGAATAAAAGTGTTGTTCCTTCGTTGAACGGGGAGGCACCCATACGATCGTCCAAGCTCTCGTAGCCTGGCTTGTCGCCCGGCTTCTTATCAGCCTGACCAACGTTGGTGTTGTTGTTGGCGTTGGCGTTGGCGTTGGCCAGAGCATCGTGATGGTTAACAAGTTCGTCTTCCATCTGTTCCACGGACATAAAGCCAGGGATGTCATGTTCCTGGACATCCTCTTGAACATCCATCGGTTCTGACACTAGGATTTCCTCGTGCTCCTGGAGATGCTCCATGGATGTTGTGGCTAGAACTACAATGTCTTTTAGGTAGTCAGTCGGCCGGTCATTCCTTGAAAGTGGACGTGGCAGACTAATAAAACGTACTTACAATTGTAGGAGAGGCGTATGTAGTTAACATAATGTTAAAAAGAGGGTGTGAGTAACGAGGTATCCCAGATCCGTGTTAAAGTGAAAGGGTATTATGTAATAATAGAAATTATGGTAGGTTATCTGTCAGGCAGTTCTTTCGTCACCATGTCAATTAAGACATAGATTCAAAGTTTATTGTAAAAGGGTATAAATAAATAGTTAGACTAATAGGAGTTAATTAATGAGGAATGTGAGGAGGGGAGTTGTAAAAAAAAGAAAGAGAAGATGAAAACAGATTGGATGCGACAAACAGGTAGCGTAATTATAGGAAAAGTAAGAGTTCCTGGTGCCCTGAGCGGTGACTTTTCCTGCCGGGCAGAAAATACACTAGGTAGGTACATAAAGCAGCAGCTTCCTCAGGAAGTAAGTTGAGCGGCATGTACATGCAGCAATCAACAGTACAGTCAAGTGTGACTCAACCACCAAGGAAGGTTCTTACCCTTAATGAAGATAACATAATGCAGTAGCAATCTAAAACTTTCACTCTTGTGTAATAGACAAGGCAGGAACCCAAGCAATCATACGCCCAAGGTAGAACAATCAACAAACTTAATGAGCTGAACTTAATTGTCTCGGAAGGAAGAATACCTACCACAACCGTACCTTATAATCTCAGAAGATGCCCATAACTGACAGAAGAAAACCCCATACATCCATCCCACAACATTTAATTAATAATTACATGACAACGATAATACAACTTTGATACCTCAAAATTAATAACTCTGGCACAATGCTCCATCTTAGCTGGTAAACAGCATTAGACAGTTATCGACCACTATTCATTCGGTGCTTGCCTGACTATATCTCCAGCTGGCTGAGGCGTCAAGAAACAACCCAGCAGTACTATCACAATATTTGGCCCTGAACAAGGCTCTTGACAAAGCCTTTTTGACACTATCAAACCACTATCAGACCTTTACTAAAAACACTCTCTTGTCGAGAAGCTCTCGACAATACCGGATTAGTCGGAGCCGGGCTTAATGCCTCGATATACAGCTCGGCTCGGCACTCCTAGAGCATCCTTCGCCTAGAAACTTTAGAGCAGACTCCATGGCATCTCAACGATCAAAACATAGGAGGCGATCACTTCATTTAGAATAACATTCACCCTGTCGGCGATGACTAAAGTCCGTATGAAAACGACACGGGGATTCTCATAACTTCAGGCGATATGATTAGCGACAACCGGGCCTGTCACGGGGTGGGGAAAGAGGTATTAGAAACAACTTAACTGTCACAAGCATTGAATTATAAGCTAACTATGGGAACCCGTAGCCATACATACTGGACGTATCCTTTGTTATAAATGCTACTGGGACGTGGATAGGATCACCGGCAAAAAGGTCGTATTTCGGGGGTGACGAGGAGGGCCCAATAAGACGGTGCCGTGCATGCTATCGAAGATGACCACCGCAGCCGCTACTATCACCACCACCATCACCACCGGCCTGCTCAGATCATTTGTTGTCCCCCTTCCCCCGTCACTAACGCCAACGCAATCGCCGCTCCAACCGTGGTCGGTGCCGTCGTGATAACTACCTACAGTCCATGGGATTACGATAGCATCAGGCCAGACTACTTTCTATACGCGCTCTTTCTTGGCCGTCTCTAAAATAGCTGTTTCTACGTGCGCTGTCTACGGTTCGAACCCATTACCTTACTGCTACCAGCGATGGAACTACACGATACTTTTAGAAGGCAACGAGGACGTTGACCTTTTTTTTGGTAGGGGGCATTTGATAAGCTATCATTAGCCTATCTCATCTATACAGCTACAGCTGAAGAGACATCTTTTCCTTTTACATCAGTTCATCAAGTTCATCACGATTCAGGTCCTCACAATTAGTAGCTCCAGAGCGAGGGATTCATTTCCTAGGTTGGTCAAAGGCAAAGCGGATGATCGAGACAAGGAGCAACGGGCAATGCTGGTGAAGTATATTACATAGTATATACCCATGAGACATCATTCTCTACCAAGTCAAACACATACGTGGGATGTTAAGTTAGTAATATCAGAAGGGTCAAACGATCGAGTTATCTGAAGACTGTATTAGCATAGCGAGTCGGTATTCTAACTAGTAATCATAGTCTATACTCACTATAATACTCAGCTGTGTCTAAATACCTAAGAATACAGACGAGGCTGATGTGGATAGACTTGGATAAAATCTCAATATTGAGATAGCTATACTGAGTTTATTTATATTTGAGGCTTCACTGCTATACCGTAGTAATATCACTTATATTTGTTAAACCACAAAAGTATAGTAACAAGCAATAAAGACTTATACAAATATAGCACCCTAAAACATGCATACTTTGGATATCTAATACATAATGACTCTAACAGCATTAATGCCCCAGCCATGATAGCAGTGTGAAACGTCTTGCTAGTTTCCCGCAACGCCAAACGCCATCTCTAACCCATCACAAAAACCAGGCGCTAGCTAGGCCTCAACGTCCGTTTGATATGTGACTCACGTTGCTCGCGTGTGCAATCAGAAACTTGCAACACGTAAGTGCAAACTTGCATGCCTTGGTCCAGCTCTCGTCATTGTTCATGCCCAGCTTGATACTGAAGTGGCCTATCCGGTCGTCGCCGATCTTGTCTCCTTCAATCTTGTAAGGGAGCGCTAGCGGGTTTGCTGCGTACTCGCCCCGACTGCTACTTTCTTTCGTTTGTTGATGGACGAAGACCCCAAGCTGCCTTACCAGCTCCAAGAATGCCACCATCCCTTGATCGAACTTGCGGTTCCACAACATTTGCAGAGGAAGGTCACCTGAGGAGAATAGTTCTAATACCGTCTTCTTAGGTCCTGGTGGAGGCCCGATTCGATGTACGCCTAGTCGACTGGAAGATGGGGATGGGTAATCGTAGCGGATAATCTTGGATGTTGAGCCCATGGGTAATGGCTCGTATCCCTCAAATTTGTACCCTAGCTTATCGGCAACGGTAACGACTAGTAGTAATGCTTGACCCCAAGCGGCATTGATTTCCGGCCAGTCTACGGGTTTTGCTGATAACCTACCAAGCCTAAGCCCGTTGATTGTCGCGAAGTGGCCGTCGTGGTGTATCGAGAATGTATCATTATAAACGTTTGCTCGCTGGAGTTTCGTAAGGAGTTGCGAGTCGTAGTCGAACTTGGAATTTATGCTGTCCCTTTCGTTCTGGAACTCAGAGAGTTTCACTGCAAATGCATTGCGCTCTCTCCAGAACTGCTCCTCCTCGGCATCTAGTGCCTGCGATTCCCCCTCGAGAGCTGCAATTTCGAGGTCAAGTGCCGCTTTTTCTTTCTCCAGCGCCAATAGCTGCTTGAATGACTCTTGCTCTTCCTTGCGTGCTATTTCTACAGCCTTTTCTGATTCGGCAATTTCCTCTTCGCTGGGCACGTCGGCTTGGACTTGCTTGAGGAAAGCTGCATAAGCATCTCGTTCCCGCGCTGTAGATTCTAGCTTCTTCTGGAGTCCGTCTACCAACATCTCCGTACATTCAACACAGACAGGATGGTCTATATCTGAACGCGCAGATAAGATCTCAAACAGCTTATTAACGCGCTCGGCTTCGTGAGGTTGCGCAGGTTTCCTCCCATCATTACGTTGGCCACTGGACATCGATGTTCGGCGTTGCTGTCTCGGAGTTTGGGACTCTACTGGAGGCGTGAGCCTTGGGGGTGCTACTTGAGACTCTGTAAGGAGGACGAAGGACATGGCGGAACTATCGCGAGGTTGGCCATCGCCACGCAAAGCACTGCTATTTCTTTTGAAGGTTGCCGGTCCGGCATCCTTAGATACTCTATCATATAGTGCTCTCCTCTCGGTATCGTTCGGGTAGGTTAAGCGCGAAGGGAGCGATCGCTTCGGATGCTGCTGAGAGGATGTAGCTGCGAAATGTTAGTTTCATGCGACGATTCTTTGGGCGGGCTATCAGACCAACGAGTAGATCAAATGCAGCTGGGTTTAGGTCTGCTAACGACCCATCTAGCTTTAGTGGAGTGCGGCACTTTTGGCAATACATGGCGAATTTGGGATATCAGCCATTAATTCCATGCTGCTGCGATTGTCTTTAAGGTATTGCAAGAAAGAAAGTTTGGATGGCGGCCGTGAATTGAGACGTCGACTTATGCATGTGCTTAGTACGTCATCAGCTGATCACTCAGGCACCTGTAGCGCTAGTAAATAAGCTGTTTTAGGGGTGGTTGCAGCTGAGAAACATCTAGGTACGTGTGGAGTATGTACTGAGTAATCAAGAAAGGTAGAGAAAAGCGAGCTAAGTACTTAGGGAAAGTACTATTTTATGTACCCAGCCAGCAGCACCTAAGCGCGTTACGGGAACTCCTTCCATTGCTCGATAAGATACGGACGTGCTTATCCACTTTCATATCATAGACGCCTTCATCATCAAAATCAAAGCAGTTGCACATATCGAATTATGAACCTTTTCATTCCACCTTTTGTCTTCTTTTTAGAGACCGCATAAAACGGATTAAATTGCAGCCGTCGAATTCATCTCGATACGTGCCGGCTATTTAGCCATGGCAGGGTAACCGGAATCATGGAACCACCTTCAAAGAAACCGAAACTTGGGCAAGCCCCTTATGATGATGACGACGATGATGAAGCAAATCTAGATGAGCTCTCTATGAGCCCCACCCAGTTTGATGCCAGGCAAGACCCTCTTTACCAACTTGATAAGGGGAGAGCCAAGGCTGCGACAAGACTAAAGTCGGCCTTTGAACGTATCTTTGAAAAGTATGGGAGGGATTTCACTGGTGTTGGTGATGAGATTGACCTTGAGACCGGGGAGGTAATTGTCAATAATGGACATCTTCTATCTCTGGACGACGAGAAAGATCGGACTAGGGAGGCTTCCGTCTTAAGTAATGAAGAAGAAGGAATTATGAAAGAGAAGGATACCCGGCCGATAGAAGGCTCTGGCTCTAAATCTTTGGTACCGACTAAACCACCAATACATAGTCCTTCTCCAGGGCTACATACCGGACTGAATCAACCCATCATGTCCGGTGAACTCAATCATCAGCTGCTATATCCTGGGATGCAATTGCATCCATTTGGTTCCCCTGATCCGTTCATGTTCGGACCCCCAATGTTCGGTAGTAGCTCTGTTGATCCGCTCTGGCAGACCCCAGAGCTTCCACCACCCCCCTACCAGGATAGATTTGGCTTTATTGGCCAATCCATGGGGTATCACAATCAACTCGGATATGGTCCGTCAATAGCGCCAGGGGGTTATAATAGTGGTTTCCTCGGTCCTCCTTTTCACCATCAGATACCGAAGAAAGTTTCCCATGCAAAGACAACGGGGCGAAAAAATCTACATCCAATACCGGCTACTAATGATTCCGACGAGGATGACATACTTTTGGGGGATAATACGCAAGAAATTGCCAAAATTACAACTACGGAAAAGAACAAGTCCTCTCCATTGGCTTCGCCAACCAAGAAGCTAAAGCAAACGGGCCGGAAGGATACGAAAGTAGATTCCGAGACTGTGGCTGAACAAGCTTCTCATACCCTTCAGAAGTCACAGCGTAGGCGACCAAGAAAGGTAGCCGTGTCCGTAGAACAGCCATGTTCCAATACGAGGATAATATCACCACCGCCGCCATCAGAAAAGGAGTCCACGGTAGCGGAGCAGAGAGCTGAAAAGCTAGCCCAGATTGAGGTCTTAATTCGGGCAATGCGCCCTTCTGATGTTCAATACAGATCTTCGCGGAGTCGTAAGCAGATAGACTCCTACGGCCAAATGTCGAAGACCAAGAGTCGGCAAGGGTCAAAGACAGTTGATTTATCAAATTCCCTAGAAGATGTGCCCTCAGAAGCTCCCGATTCTTCTCCAGGAGTAGACGAATCTAAGGAACATACAGAATCTGACACCTCTCAGCATGGGGAGGTCGCGCAGCTTACGATAAGCGAAGACTTCGAAGACTTCGAAGAAGTTATCGATAAAGGGCTTGTTAGACAAGCCGATATCACTATTCCGGATGAAGAAAGTCATGATGACGGGCTACTAGTGGGCCATGAAGATACAAGCAATAATGAGAATGTTGAAATTGAGGCAGCCGATCTCCCTTCTAGTCTTGATAACTCGGGGGAGATGGATCCCTTGTTTTTGAATAATGAGATCGACACGATAGTGATGGAAATACCGACAGACAGCAAAACACCTCCGTTGAGCGAACCTACATCGCCTAGTAGCCATTCTAATGAGGAACAAGTACTCGATAACCCGCAGGATTTGGGTCAGACCGCCAGCCCCGATGATCGAGAAGTAAACTCGAAGAGCAACGCTATAGAGAATACGAACTGCGTAGTAGAAACCATATCCTATGATATTACGAGCAATGAGATTCAAGACACCCCCATAGAAGCTCAGGAAGTCAATCTTGCACGAGATAATTCTCGTGAAGTAACCCCGAGTCTACCTGCAGCGATAGAGCCAGAGGAGACTGCTGCCCAATTGCCCGATCTAGCACAAGAATTTATCCAACCTGTTAGCTCTCCTACTCTGGAATTGGAGTTACCCTTCGATCATGCTGTAATCCAGCCAGATTCCATAGAACAAGACCCAGGCCAGCCGTATTCCCACGAAGAGGAAGAAGTCATATTTCTGCCCGCGCTAGAACCAGCTATACCATCTCCACGACAAATCAGCCCACCTACCGAAACGTCTGAACTAGTTCTACGGCCATTACCGGTCCAAAGCGAACAAAGCAAGGAGGCCGATCCAACGGATATTCCGAACTTACCTATGAATCCACCCTCTTCATCCACACAACCCGCCTCCAAAATTACAGCCCCTAGCACGCCAAAGAAACGCAGCAAAACATCAGCGGCCCTCGAAAAGACAAGCAGCAGCCATCGCACTCCGTCCACCCGTAGAAACCGAGCCCTAACATCCCTCATCCCCGACGACCCAGACCAAGACGACGACGAGCTAAGCGTCCTCTCGTCAAGCGTCACAGCAAGCCCATTCATCACCCGACCTGACCGCAACATCATCGCCATGACTTCCCACCACCCCCGCGACTCCTCCACACCCCGTAAATCCAACCATCGACACGGCTTCCTCATGGGCTCCAGCACACGTACACCCCACCGCACCAGCAAGCACGCCGCCCCCCCTGCCACCGATTCCCGCGCGTTCCGCGGCACAAAACGCAGATTCATGGCTAGTAGCCCCGTAGCACAGAGCTCGCCGCTAGCGCGCACGGTGGTGAATGTTGATAGCGTCAGCATTCTCACTTCTACGCCGTCGCGGCGGGCAAAGATAGGCGGTGGCCCGAGCATAATGCTGGAGAGCAGCCCGGTGCGCACGCCCGGCGGCTCGGCGCGTAGGTGTGGCGAGGATGGGTTCGTGTGTGATCGGGATTTCTGCTTTACGTGCTGTAAGTAGATGGATGGATGGATGTGGCATACCTACTAGTTTGAGGGATGAGATAGGATGGGGTTGAGCTGAATCGAGTTGAGGCGGATATAGCTTGATTAAGCCCAAAGACGGGTTATAGATGAGGAAGAAGTGCATATAGCTGGCTGGTATAACTGGCAGCCTCGATTAGAATTAGAGTATATAGTAATAGCATACCATGGCATATATTTAGTACCTAGGCATGGTTTACGCTTGCTATGGCGTGGAGCAGTGTTTGTTGTGTGTCCAGCGTACATACATACTATTTGCCTACTTGGCTTTTCATAAGACTACGACCTATAGGGACTCAACGTGATGTGGTTTATATATATACCTAGAATTCATCCCCTATAAATTCCCTCTACAACTACGAACATAGATAGGTACCTATCTGTATACGTATCCTTGGAAAGTAAATCCAGGACACCATCTTCACGAAACACCACGCACCCCCACGAAACCAGTCAAGACACATCATCAAACTCGTCTGTGCCTGTTCGCGTAAGCTACTTAGCTAATCTTCCTATACTGGCCTAGTCTTATAGTGGTAGCAGTAGTAGTAATCTTGCTATACCCGATACTCACCAAAAAAAAAAATGAAAGAAACAAAATTTCAATACCCCTTATGCCGAGATATCCCAAGTCAGAAAAAGAAGCAGCCCGTCTCAACACCCCCTTTAACAAAAAATCCCGGGAACGCCAAAAGTCCGGCTAGTTAGGTCACTTAATTCACGTTTAATCCGCTATGTTCCTAGTACCAGAACCAGACATCGGAATAATCTCGTGGTGTACTAAGTAGGAACTAACGGGGTTTACGGGATCGTAGCAAAATAAAATATCGCATTCATTGCTTTCTTATCGGTATGCCACGTCGTGGTCTTGCCGCCGCGGAGAAGAGTGACCGCTGGTCAAACGCATCGCACGGGCCTATTAGTAGAACTACCTAGAACTAAACTTCCATCCGGTTTCAGCGGCGTGTAGCCTAGCATGCAGAAATATGCAATGCCATTAGCACGAGATGCGAGCGCACATACTCATAGCGGAGGCTGGAGACTAATTGAACGACGAGCGGGGATAGGCCCGGGTATCTTAAGAATTCGTAGGGGAAGAGCTGAAAAGAAGTACGCGATCGGTTGGGTAGGCTGGATTCTTAAGACTCTGAGCTAACAGTTGCGCCACCAAGATACTCCTTGAGAGTGGCTTCGTCCCGGATCGGAGCAAAATATGGATGCGCCATAGCCTCCTTCGCAGTAAGACGCTCCTAAATAACCATTAGAATGTATTAGAAAATGACCGAGTGGCGGTACAAACCTGATGATCGTATCGCAGAAGCTTGTCTAGGAAATCGATGGCCTCGTTGCTCACGAATCGTTGGTTCTCAGTATTGACGAAACTGTGCCAAGGCTTCTTCGTAAAATGACCGAGGATATCATCGTATTGGGGGTCAAGCTCTATCTCGTACTTGTCCAAATAGTCAAAGAGATCATCGGTACCGAGAACCTTTGCAATCTTAACAAGCTGATCTGAGTTGCTGTTCCCATGGAAAAAAGGCTCTTTTCTGAAGATCATAGAGGCGAACATGGCACCCAGACTCCACATGTCCAAACTGTAGTCGTACTCCTGGAAATCAACCAACAGTTCGGGCCCTTTGAAGTAGCGAGAGGCAACCTAAGAATAACATTAGCATGTACGGATTTTATATCCACACCGCTGGTTTAAAAAATCGATAGTATAAGCACACGGGCATACGAGTAGGCAACCCATCGCTTCTTGAAGGTCGAGGGGACGCGGGAGCTACTTGATGAACTTACGCGCACGTTATATTCTGTTCCTGGATGGTAAAACTCGGCTAGGCCCCAGTCGATGAGACGTAACTAGCGAATACGTGAGCAAAAACGGCCGTGGCAAGGACGTAGGTTACATACCTTTCTGTTCTCATGATCGATCATAACGTTATGAGGCTTTACATCTCGATGCATAATACCCTTGCTGTGGCAGTAGTCAAGAGCCTTGAGCAGCTCGTAGATGTAGTAACGCACATCGATGTCGTTGAACTTCGGGTAGAGGCTTCGAAAGTCCGTGTTATTCACATATTCGAAGATGAGAGACGGGGTCTTGCTCTGCGCGGGGGTAAATAGAGTTAGCTCTTGATATGATCTGACAGCGCCTAACCGTGGCATCGGGGAAAAAAGGTGGCTGCTTACCTGATTGTCTCTGACGACGTCCAGGAGGGCAACAATATTGGGACCACCCGAAAGGTTCTGGAGGATTTTGATTTCTCTCTTGATCTTCTTCTTCTTAACTGGCTTCAGGACCTTGATGACGCATTTCTGATAGTTAATCACGTTGATACCCTCAAAGACCTCGGAATATTTTCCACGGCCTGATCACGGTGAGAAATTAGTCGGCTATCGGTATTAGGAAGGATACGGGACGCGACGTGACGTACCAATTTTGCGAACGACCTCGTAGTTTTCTAGGATTCCCCAGCCTGGTAGTACCAAAAACGTCAGTCTTTACACTATTTGCTAGCAGATATTGATACGAAACCGCGAGCCTTGGGAAGATTTAAAACAGAGATAACGAGGATATTGTATTGGATAAGATAGGAACATGATGCAAACATGGCTCTAAGTTCCTCGATGTTGAAATGGACTCACTAATGTTAACACTATCATAGTCCCAATAGCTTCTGGGCATATTCTGGTTGACGTCGGCGTAAACCCGCGCCATGATGGGCAGCGTAGGTATCCTTTCGGGATACGAACAGCGTCAAGGGGAAGAATAGCGGCGGGTAGAAAAAAGTCGGGATTGGGAGGTCGTCGCTTGACCTCGAAATGCCGGCCGGAGCGGAACGTGGCACGCGATGGCGCGGTTATAGAGGAAGTTCCCGAATTCGTCTTGGTGCTGGGTGCTGGGTGGTGGGATGGGAGATTTGAAAGTGGGATGTCGATAACAAGGTTCTGGAAGGCTGGAGGCGCCTGAGTGGAGTCTCTACCCCGGCCGAACTGGTGGCCGATTGGATTAGGACAGTACTTATGTACCACAAAAATTAAATCCACACGGTGTTGTATAGGCGCAACTTCCCTAACCTAATTACTTTTAACTACTCATTTTACAAACAGAAGGGTCGAACAATAGGTGCTTGTATGATTTTATTATAGCTCGTTGTCTACCTAACCTAAGGTAGGTGCATATGTATTATTTTTGCAATACAGCACCTAAAACAGCTCATGCCAACAATAAGAAGAGCATGGAAGCTCTTTGTGTATGTACTTGTATACCTAGGTAATTATCAATAACGGCACCTTTTCTTATTCCGTCATGCAAGGGAATGCTAGAGTAGCAAATGGCCACCTCCAGAACTAGATAAATTCCATACATTCTAGTAGTAATCCCACTAGAACCTGTCCGACACACTGCAGGTAAACTATAGGTACATATGTCTCCTTAAGCTATGTAGACAATTCCCGAACAAAGCCTTTGATGCAAGCCCGTTGTTTGTAATTGCAAAGTCTTTGCACTATTCACCTAAAACTCGCAGTACAAGTAGTCAGCAACAATGCTTGTTGTAGTAGAAAAGGGAGAATACACAGAAGGGATGGTATAACGCATTCAGAGAGAAGATTAATTATTCGACATGCATCCGTTTAGGTAATCCAACCATCCATCAGCCAGAAGCCAACTTCAGGTGGTCCCGGACTTCAGACTAAGGATGACGATACAAAGGTTCTCATCACGGAAACAAAACAGACAAAGAGGAATTGAGAATGCAACACTAACCTGGCCAAATATCACTCAACCACGTATCAATCACGTATGAAGTAGTTATTTCAGGATTGGAATACCATAGAGAAATACGGAAAACTCATTTCCTTTCGTGAGTCTTCAATCGTCGTATGAGATCCTTCGCCTCTGTGCCGCGGGAGTGGCAGCCGTGTCTTGGGCCGTTTCATCATCGTAGTACAGACTGTCCATACCAGTCTCGACTACATCCCACGTCCTCTTTCGTAGATCGGGCTTCTTCTCGGGATGGAACTTGCGCTGTTCATGCTTCTTTCGTCTCGCACGTTGCTTTTTCTCTCGCTTGACTTCAGCTTCGCTAGGTTTAGGTTTAGGCATGTCTTCTTCGATTTCTCCATCCTCGCTACCATCCTGCGCCTCTTCTTCTTTCCCTTTGTATTTCTCATGACTCTCATCTGGCATTGTAGGCAACGATATTGCTATCGAATCGGGATTAGGCTCGCTGGTAGATGCGGAATCATCTTCCTCGGCCGCTTGCAACGGTGCGGTCGACGTCTCCCCGAGCTTAGCGGCTCTAGTCTTAGCACGGCGAAGGGCTTCAATTTCAGAATGTCGAAATATAGCGATTTGCTCATCCGTAAGCGTGCGTTTGACACCATCTGGATAATAGCCTAAGCCGTCATCCTCTTCTTCATAATATTCTTCATATTCCTCATAGTACTGATTTTCATCCTGCTCATCTTGCGCATTTTCCGGTCGGAAGAACTGTGCATTGAAGAGTTTGGTAGCCGCGAGAGAGAAGTGCGCGTCGTGAAACGAGCTTATCTCTTCCTGCCTAGGAAGTCAGCATTAGCCAGCTGAAGAAAAGAATCAGCAACAGAAAAACATACCTGTGATACTTCTGGTACTTGGAACAAGTTGCTTGTGGCCTGTAGAGAAGTAGACATTGTTACATAAACCAACCGCTACTAGCGGCTAGATAGGTGATGTAAGTTGTGAAAGAGAGATTGAAAAGGTGTAGGTAGCTTTAAATTTCGAGGTAAAGTATTGATTGAGCTTTGGTAACAACTGAACGTTATCGATAACCGGCTTGGTTGCGGCCGAACCGCGTCGCGTTTGACCTACCTACGTATATGTACCTATGTACCTAAGTACAATGTATTCATTACCTGAGAACGAGGCATACCAAATGTCAAGAAGACATCAATGTAAAATATAGATCATAAGGCTAGATACGGTAGCAAATTGTATGTATGCAGCTAAGTACAAGTTCATATCGTAATTAATTCATAAGCATCGTAAAAGTCGTCAAGTCGTAAACCTCACCTATATTCATTGTATGCACACTGATATCATGCACCGCCATATAAACATATAATACGTGGGCTTAAGTTGATCTTAGAAGTGCCAGAGCACTCTGGAAGGCCTTCACTACTTCGGATACTACTTACGTCAGCCTCGGAGATCTAAGAATTAGGGGCATCAATACTCACGATGTTGCTTCTTTTGTAAGAGTGCTTGCTCAGAAAGGCGCACATGTCTTTCGCGAGTTTGTAATCTGCCAACTTTTAATACTATTCTTATATAGAAGTACACGATGGGGGATGACAAACCTTTTGACCGCTCTCTCATTATCATGGGCGGACGAAGCTGACGCCCAGACGTTGAAGTACTGATTTTAGTGTTAGACATAATTCAGTGAGTCGCTGATGGCTATAGGACAGCTTAGCTTACCTTGACAAGAGTATCAAACTCTTCCAAGAGCTGCTTCTCTTGCTCATCAGCCTCTTGTAGAGCTTTCTCATAGCGATCCTCGAAGTCTTCCCAATCAAATGCAACGAGATGGCCGGGGCTCTGCATTTCAGACCTATTACTCCGTCGCTTTTGTGGCTCGGGGGTTCGTGTCTGACGTTGACGGTCCAACTGTCTAGCCATAAGCGATATGTCTTGGCCCTGATCGACCTTGGGGCCCTGAGTCCGTGGAGGCGATCGCGGCTGTGATTGTGATTGTGAATGTAGCTTTACCGTCACATCTTCCTCGGGATCAACGAACTCAGTTTGGTCACCCAAATGAGTTGGTAACTCTACCATCATTGATTGATCACCTGCCATTTCATCCTGAGAAAGTGATTGTTTCACTGGTGATGATGATCTAGGTGTGGTAGACATGATGACAGCCTTGGCAGTAGTTTCAACGGCTCTGGCAGCTGTTTATGTCGACTTCCCGCAGACAATTTGGACAGCAATCGTCCAGTGTCGAGAATAATCTGTTACTGTAGAGAATAGACGACGCGTGACACAAGTAGAATTAGAATGAATCGAAGGGCAGCTGAGGCTGAATAAATTGATCACCTGATTGTTTTAACTCCCACTTTAGATTCATATATAAACAGATCAAGGCACAGAATAATATAGATTAAGGAACAACTTCTTACATGTTACATTATGTAACTACCTAAAAGACGACAAGAGAGACGCGTCGCTGCCCAAGAATTAAGTTAATTGAACGAGACTCGAAAGACTTGGCAGGCAAGCGCAACAAAGGTTGATAGGCTACTGATAAGAGCCCGATAAGGTAAGCACACAGGCACAACTACTTCGTACCCCTGCATGCATACCTCTAATCCATACCCCTGCACCTCTCAACGTCACAAGGAGCATTGAACCATTCTATCCCATCATCTTCCATCTTGCCATTCACGTCTTCCCATCAATGCTTATTCTATATCGCCTCTTTTCCGTTGATATTTATATAGCCTTCTGGCAAGTCGATATGCAGGTTGCTTACCTCGCAAATGTAATAGGAGTTCCTCGATCGACCGCTTGCTATCCGTAGAAGCGCGTCTCTTGATTCCCCCCCCTCCCCCCAGACATCCCGCACCATCGAATCTTCGTCAGTTCCACCCCAAGTCCCGCCACCATGAATTGCGACATTTGTCAGCGGATGCACCACCCGTCGAGGTTACCCTTCTTCTGCGCGGTGGATGCAAGGAACGAATTATACGAGAGACGAATAGCCAATGCTCGGATTCTCATGGAAGCCGAGGAGCTCGAGTCTCGAGTCACCAAGCAATTGTCAGACAACGATGCGAGCGCCGGAAACCCCGTAAACGATCGCTCTACTCGATCCTACGTAGAGAACTGCATCTCGGAGGAACGTAAGGCTAAAGAGAGGACGGAGCAGATCATAGCGACGGCAGATAAGCTCCGCGAGGAGGTTGACGCTGCAAAGAAAGAGATCCAGGAGCGCAAGGCTAGCATCGCCCGTAAGAAGTCGGATCTTGCCGCCGCAGCCCAGGGTGTTTCTGTGCGGCGAAACCGGGAGCTTGAGGAGACTAAAAAGGCCTCGAAGATGGCCAAGTATACTTGGGACCGAGAGTACGACGCCATGACCCAGTACCGCGCCGCGCTGTGCATGGAGGTAGCCAAATTATATAGACTACAGCGTGTCCGTCGCGGGAATCCCGTCCGGTTCGAGTATAAAATTGGCGGCATCGACATCGTCGACCTACACAATTTGAACAGTAAGTATCTTGTCTATACGTAACTCGTAGTTGTTCAGCCTAGTCTAATATTAACCTAGGCGCGCAACCTGAACTTATCTCCGCTTCTCTCGCACATATCACCCACTTATTATGGCTTACCTCTCACTACCTATCTATTCGCCTTCCGGCAGAATTTACACTACCGCACAATGACTATCCCAAACCTACCATCTTTTCATTAACGTCTTCCTACCACCATGGCGACGTTGCATTTCCCGGCACCTCTCTCATACCCCCTGATCCACGTGACCGTCAATTTGCCCATGTCCCGCACCCCCGACCCCTTTTTCTCGAGAAGCCCCTGTCGGTCCTTAGCAAGGAGGACCCGTCAGCGTACAATTCCTTTCTCGAAGCAGTTTGTCTGCTAGCCTACGACATCGTCTGGCTCTGCCGGACACAGGGCGTGCCCATGAGTGATAACAGCAATAGTCTCGAAGACTTCGCCTGCCTAGGACGCAATTTATATAATCTCCTAATCAACTCCTCCTTGCAACGCAACCCCCAGCAGATAGCAGAAGCGCCCGCCCAAACCAATGGCAACAACCCGGCCGAACTGGGTAGAACAGCACCTCGCATGGGGCTGTACTCGCACGGCACGGCCCACACCTTTCTCGGCAGCGCGGCGGGCAATGATCTTACGCGCAGCTTTAAGATGCCTACCGTGATTAAGATGGTCGACAAGCTGAAGGCCAAGTTATTGCGCGAGAACCCAGTTCCAGAGTGGGAATTGCTAGAGGACGATGCATGGACACCGGACGACGCGCTTGATGATGGTGTGCTGGTTGGTGGGACTCCAAACAAAGGGCAGCCCGGTGTCCCAGGCCACCGCTTCGGCATCGAGAGTTACATGAGCGTCAACACCGTTAAGAGTGGTAGTAGTGGCGATCATAATTCAAGAGTGCCTAATGGGGCCGTTGCGGGAAGAGAGCGCGAGAGGGAGAAGGGTACCAGCGGTTGGACGAAGATAAAGCCTCGATAGATCGCCGAACCCCAAACTAGAGTAGAGTCCAGATAGAGTAAGTGTCTTGAATAGAACGTACCTGTCTACAAGTAGTGCGCTGTTCTTGTTCCCTCTAGACTGTTTTGAACATTGCTTTACGTGATGAAGATAGAGGTGATTGGGATGGAATGGATTACGAGACGTGTAGAGTGAGATATAAGTTCTCTATTAAACCCGCTGCTACGGCGCTTGGGTCTATACTTGCGTTCTAGATACATGTAAAAAGTACGGATATATATCATTATCTCAAACCACCCTCGAGGTTGATCGAGAACATCGGCATGCTGTATGGAAGTGCGTGAGACGGACCGCAGAAGTCCTCCTAGCACTAGGCCAAAATGATTAGGTAGTCAAGCAAGAAGGTAAATAGAGGGTAGTAAGAATGTTAGACGGGTAAACTTATCTTCTCTCTCATCTGCCCATCATATAGCGAGCCTTAATCATACCATCACCACCCCTCAGAAATCTAAATGTTAGTAGTAATCAATCCAAGTAAATACTTCAAAGCAGAGATCCAGCTTAGAAACACGGTTTTACCGTGATCACACAATTTCATAGCCCTACAAATCTACCTAACCTACCACTACTTAGCCAAAAGGCCTCAAAATATTAAAATGTAGCCAGCCGCCTGTGCGAGACACGGAATAGTAGAAGCCGAAGCCCCCTCCGCGCTCACGACAATTGGCAGTGGGCCTGCTAAAGCATTGATCTGGGCGTCGTTGTCTATGCTCGCATGATGCGGGAGAACAAGTCCCCCTTCATTTGAGCGTGAACAATAACAGCTTCGCCGTGAAATAATAGGTCCTTGGGATCCAGTGCTGCTGCTGGTTAGTTGCTGTTGGTTAGTATCCTTGTGTCGATTATTGTTGTTGTCGTCCTGCTGCTGTTAGTATTCTTGTCCTTGGTCTTCTTCTTCAGCTTCCTCGGTGCTGGTACTCGTGCTCGTCTCGGTGTCGATCTTAATCCTTAGTTCTTATTCTTATTCCTCGGTTCTTATTCTTATTCCTCGAGTTGTCGTGTATCCTTAAAATTCTTATCTTGCTACTCGGAGCAGATGTCAGCAGTCGAATGAGCTAGGGGGTTCTGCAAATAGTTAGCGTCACCATAATCGGCTATAAATCCATTGGGAGACTATACCTTTTTGCTCTACTAACAGTATGTTGACGATACTCTTGGTCTGTCATCCTAAGCTGTCGGGAGGTCTGCTCGATGGCGCGGCGAGAAAGGAGAACCGCGACGAGACATTGTCGAAAAGGGATAGAATGCTCGAAGGACGGCGGCGAGAACAAGGCCGTACGAGACGTTGTCGGTGAATACAGTGAACCAAGAGATAACCGAGAGAGAGAGAGAGAGAGACAGACAGATAGGTGACAGTTGGGTAATAGAGGTAGAACAAAACCAGACAACTCGAAGTAAGCTGTAGCGAAGTCCTCGCAACCTCCTGATCTAGGATCACTCGGAAGACTCAGAACCCGCCATGCGCCGAACAGGACACGATCCCATGGCACCTTCACCAACTACCACGAGATCGCACCTGACACCAAAAGCTCTCACCCTTCTCCGAGGTTCCTCAGGTTCATCGAGCTTCATGTCCCGCACACTTCTGCTTCAAGTTCAAGAGGCGCAAGAAGAGACATGCTTCTAGACAAGGGTGGGCGGCCAGACGTGCATTTTATACCAATCTCCTGCTTGCGCGGGTATCAAGGGTCCAGATCATCACGAATGGCGGCCGGCCGACCCCCTCCGTCGCCCAATGGGTTCCTGGGAGTGGTTTAAGCTGTCAATATAGCATCGACCGGCCCAGCGCTAGGAAGTTGCTAGTTAGTTCAAATAGAAGAGAGAGGGAGCAGGGTCTCTGTGCTTGAAGAGCCGACCAGTACCAGGTGATCTTAGCTGAGTGAGGATGAATGTGGCATGAGTACCAGGGAAAACAGTGTCGAGACCGGACAATAGTCACGTTCAACGACGGTTTAGTCTTCGCTGGTTGAAGTAGTGTTCTGCCATCGTATAGGCCTGTTCGTGGCTCAAACCACCATCCATAAACTCACAGACCTTGTCTTCAAAGTCATCTTCCTCATCGACGAATTCCGGTTGCGATGCCGCGGGCTTAGCTGCAGGACCTTTGCCCTTAGAGGAGACGGGCTCGGTGTAAAGGGTCGACGTGGCATTCGCTGGCTTGGATTTTCCCGGAAGACGAGGGGCCTGAGGCTTCTGAGCAGGCTTTTGGGCCGCCGTCGTCGAAGATGGCTTCTCAGCCTGGTTGATCAATGCCTTTCGCGATTTTGGCGTGGCCATTCGCCTTGCTGGTGCCATTGCCTTCTCGGCCTTTAGCATCGGGGGCAGTGCCTGCGACGATGGCTCCTGCGGGGTTGTCTGCTTAGGCTTAGGCGTCGATGGCGTAGTCTCGGGCCAGGTCAGTTGCGATGTTGTCGGCTGAGGCTTGGGCGTTGGGGGCAGAGCCTGGGTCGATGGCTTCTGCTGGATTGTCTGCTGAGGCTTCAGGGGGGGCAGGACCATTGTCTGTTGAGGCTCCGATGTCGGGGGCGCAGGTTGGGGCCAGGTCAGCTGAGAGGTTGTCGGCTTCGGCTTCGGCGTCTGGGGCAGAGCCTGGGGCAGCGGCATCTGCTGGACTGTCTGCTTCGGCTTCGGCGTAGAGGGCTGGACCTGGGGCAGTTGTACCTGCGGGACTGAGAACTCAGACATTGGCGCAACTGGCACCGGAGAGAATACCCGAGGGAATGCCTGGGCTGCCGAGGCTGTAGTTGAGTGAGCCTGGAACTGGGTCTGGGGCAGTGGCATCTGCGGGACTGAGAATTGAGACATTGGCAGGGCGGATGGCGACTGAGCGATTGTCGGCTGAGCCTGAGGTAGTGGCATCTGTGGGACCGAGAACTGAGAGGACGCCTGGGTCAATGGTGACTGGTTGGCTGTCGGCGTCGACTGCAGTGCTGATGGCAGAGCCTGGGACGATGGCGTCTGCGCTGCGGAAGCAAGGTTGTTGGCATTGTACATGCTTGCCTGCAGCCCACCACCAAGGCTGTTGCTTTGCGACGTCGACGAAGACTGTACAGAGGGCTTGGAGACAGCCTTGCCCTTAGAGTGGTACCTGTATGTAGAGTCTTGCGTCGGATCGTCGTTGCTCGAATCGCTAGAGGAATCCGAGGAGTTCAAGGCACGAGGCTTGAACGACTTGGGCTTGCGCATGGGCCGCGACTGAGATTTGGTAGGGGTTTGATCCTTCCTGATCTTGCAGTCGTTGAACGGGGAGGCACCCATACGTTCGTCCAAGCTCTCGTAGCCTGGCTTGTCGTCCGGCTTCTTGTCAGCTTGACCAACGTTGGTGTTGTCGTTGACGTTGGCTTGGGCGTTGGTTAGAGCATCGTGATGGTTGACAAGTTCGTCTTCCATCTGCTCCACGGACATAAAGCCAGGGATGTCATGTTCCTGGACATCCTCTTGAACATCCATCTCTTCTGGCAGGAATTCCTCGTGCTCCGGGATATCCACCTCCATGGGTGTTGGTACAATTGGCGCTGGCTCTTGGGGTGTGACATAGAGAGGCATAGCGTTGTAGTTGTATATGTCAATGGCTTGGCCCAGCGCGGGAACGGCTGGTTCACAAGGGGTGTTGACGTTGACATTGTTAGCTGGATACACAACCACTGACGCAATCTGGGGCGGCTGAGACTCGGGCACCCATTCCAGCTGGTGGAACACCTGCTGGTAGATTGGCTGGGGGGGTAGCTGAGGCTCAGGAACCGGCACAGGAGCAGGTGCGGTCAGCGCACCGAGGACAGGGGCACCGTTGAGGAACGTAGGCGCGGAATTCTCCAGACAACTCATGAACACATGATGATGCGGAAAGTCAGCCAGACTGTACCTTTTACGCTCTCGACCCTCGAGACGCCTAGAGAAAAGAGGCCTAGCGGGAGGGGGAACAGCAATATGACGACGAATTGGCCGGTAGGGTTTGTCATTTCGCTGTTTGCTCTTCTCTTCCAACCATTTGTCGCAGAAGTACCTGTCGCGAGCAGTCTCAGGTAGGAAGGGGCGGTGCACTCTCTGCATGCTGGAGAAGGCTTCAGGTTCGGCAGCCCTATGAGTGATGACCTGCTCATAAGGAACCATGGTACCATCGGGATTCAACAGAGGGGTTGGCTGAGGGAGAGCGGGAGAGAGAGAACGAGCGGGAGGGGCAGGGAGAGCAGGGGGGATAGGGCCAGCAGGGGGGGTAGGACGAGCAGTGAACTGTCCTGCGACTCGACGAACCAGAGTCACAGACCAGTCTCCCCATTGGAAGCAGATATCCTTAAGTTCGCGGGTGTCAAGACTCCACTCAAGCTTCTGAAGCTCATTGTAAACGTAGGTCACACAATCCGGAGAATGGCGATAGCCAAATTGACGAATGTGTTCCTCGTTGAGGTCAGAGAACAGTCTAGGAATAAGTTAGTATGTGTTATTCAAATAAGACGTGTCGCAAATAATGGGGGTGACAAGGTTGGTAGGGTAAGAAGAGTATAGGGGTAAGAAGAGTATAGAGGTAAAAAGAGTATAGGGGAATAGGGGCATAGGGCATAGGGGTAATAAGAGAATGCAAGCCACGTGAGTACCAGGGCAATGGGAATACAAGAGTATAAAGGATACAAGAACCAATACGATAGAAGAGTATGGTGAATGTTGAATAGTATAAAAGTATGACAACAACAGTAGCAACACGATATGAAACCATAGCAACAGGGAAAGATAGAAACAAAACAAAACAAAAAAAGTTTACTTACTGCTTGAACCACATAGAAATGAGGATCTGTGGGATACACCAGACAGGAGGCGACATGCCGTAGTTCTTGATGGCGATAGCGATAGATGCAGCCCACCAAGCATACCAACCGTAGGATGTATACACCCACAGGCCAGCCTGCGCGATGAGCCAGGGGATCACCAACCACGTAGAGACGTCAGCCTCGTCGGATATACCTAGAACCGTGACCGCGAAGAGAGAGAAGAAGGTAATGAAAACAAACCCGAGTGCTGGGTGAACCTTGAAAAGGTACGTGGCAAGTCCCAGCACAAAAGGAATGAAATCGGATAAGGAGGGCCATCCTAGGACGCGCCCGAAAGCGATGATAATACCGGCAAGAAGAGGGGTGATGATGACAGCGGAAGAAGAGTAAAGGGGGGTGACTAGGGTAGATAGAGAGGGCATCGTGATAGGGCGGATAGAAGGCATTGTGATGGATCGGATAGAAGAGATGATGGAACGGATAGAAGATAGGGTGTGTGTGAGGATAGAGGTAAATGCGAGTGCAAGTGTGATCAAGAGGATCAGAGCGTTGGTAAACATTTCGTAAACGTTGTGCGTAAGAGTGCTTATTGCAGAGTGCGTAGGCAGAGAGCAGTAGGCAGTATGTATGCGTGCGTAAACAAGATGTTTGGTGAAGAAAGAAAAAAGAAGAAATTCTGAGATTGAGGGAGGGAGGCCTTGTTTATATAATAATTTCTTGGGCGGTGTGGTGCGTAGCAGGCGGCAGGAAGGTTGGCGATGCTAGGCAACGGAAGTCCTAGGAGACAGGTGACAGACGCAACCGGAGGTGGTAACTACTGTAGACCTGCGCAACCACTTACACAACTACTGTTCGTACCTTAGTACCTAGCAACCAACTTGAGATATGGAAAGGAAGGTACGACTGCAGTTGCTATGGGACTCTATGTTTTTAGGAAGTTGCCAGTTACAACCAACTTAAGTCAGTGATGCATTGACACATTTGCAGTAGTTCAAGATATATACAACGCTTCAATGTGTATGTATGTATCAATACATGGTACGTACACCTACGCAAGTGTATTAGATACATGTACGTACATAGAAGTAAAGAAACGATTCTGTAAGTAAGTACAACAGGTACGTGCTATGGTGCACACCTTATATATGTCTACTCTACTCTCGTAACCATCTTAGTAATGAGGTAGTCATTACATCCCATGGTTTGCTAGAATACATTGAGAAAACATGTAAATACACACGGAACTTCAGACTTGCTTGCTCAGCTGTACGTACATGTAGAACATAGATAATTACCTAGGTACATACCTAGTAATGGAGTAGAATATTATTATTTTGCAACAACAATGACTCTACTCAGTGATCTTTAAAAAGGGGTAAACAACGTGGTGAGAGGGTACTTCTCCTATCTTCGACGATATTAACTACTAGCCTAGCATCTAGAGCCATCATATAGCATACAAATAGTAGGAATAATTAGTAGATATGTTTACGTATTATTCATAGTTTAAAATAGGGGTAGCATTACAATACTCCTTAAAGCCAGTAATATTATCTTTCAGGGCTCGGTTATATTTGATATGTTTACCATGGGCTTCCTAAGGCTAATTCACCTATGTGGATTATTTATGTTTCTAATTCTCTTATTGATACTCTGTTATGGTACCTTATGTTAAATATTCAGCCGCCTTTTCTCTAGTGGAACTGGCTTCAGCTTTCTAGGTAGTCTCAAACTACATTATTTGCTTGGAGGATACACTAATTCTTCAATTCCCAATTAACTACGTATTCCCAGGCCAGGTACCTCAAATCCCTCTGTACCTAGTTGCCAGGGAAGTTTTGATCTTGAACTGTTGTCAGATGAGTCAGGAAAAAATGATTAAGATGGTAGATCTGGGTGAGATCAGTAATTGGCCACCTGGTAACCAGTTGGTAAGTCTTTAAGGATAAACTTTAGCTAAGAAAAACAAACATCAATAGCTTCGCGAATTCCCTGTCTACTAGCTCGTCACGGCTGGCTGTCTATCACTCTGTATATGACTGTATTCATGGGCTTACACCTGGCAAAAATCAACACGTATTAGGATATTGCTTTCAGGGGCTGGCTATCTATGCAAGTAGGTTAGGTACCTAAGGTACCTAAGTAGCTAGCTACGAATATCTAGACAGAAAGGCTCCTGCATCTAATCCTTAGTAAACCTACGTATAAACAAAAACAAAACAAAACAAAAAGTTTACGCGATAGCATCTGATGCTTCGTTGGTCGGGCCGGCTGTAAACAGTAGCTGTCTTCCTGTTATTTATATCTGATGAACTGGCCATTCTTTAGTCTTAGGTATAGTTTTCCGGGTATCGTGGGGCATAGAGTGAGAAGCAAGGGCCTATTTACTAGTATAGTAGTGTATTAGTGACTGTATCAACCTATGCCCTTCCAAAAATAGGGGGAAAGCATAGTCTTCATATAAATCTGGTATCCAATAGTCTAGGTACTCTACAAGGCAACCCTATTACATCCTGACAATAATATTTACCTGTCACGGCATATCAAAGATGTGCTTTACACTAGAGACTGCCTTAGGTACCTAGGTAGGTATGTATTATAGACCTGACGAGAAGCGGAATTTTTACACTGGATCTTCATAGTAAAATTTCTATCAAGTAATTATGTCGTGAAGCACTCTCATGCTCATCTAAGCTATATTCCTCAATCAAAACCACATAACTTAAAGACCATACCTACCATGTCACGATCTTTGCAACGATGCTAATGAGCAAGCCGAATTTAATCAAAACTTTTGTATTGGTACCCCAAGGACAAGATCTTGGGCTAGAACAAGACACAAATAAACCAGACAATGGTATATAACCTAACAATACACCAACAAACGCCCTCTACTCGTCGTATCCTCATCAAGACTATCCCCGATACGCGCCAATTCTGGTCATAAGTCATTATATCAAGACAAGGCAGAAGCCAGACAGACAGGAAACATGCTACCCGTTCACCTTTATTTCCGTCCCCGCGCAAGCAGTCTTTCCTGGAGCTCAACAAGGACCTCGACCCAAGGCTCAAAAGTCCCGCTCTCTTCTTTCGTAACCACGCGTGTGCCTATCTTCGTTGTGAGGAACTCAACAATCTTATCTTCCTTAAATTGCTCTCCGTAAACCACTCGTGCCTGGGGCGTAATGGTGACCTCTACGCCATCTGGAGTACTCCGACCATGTAAGCTGAGTACGACCTCCACTTTCGTCTCCAACGGGACAAGCAGTACCCATGAGCGGATCGAGATAGACGAATCTGAAGTTTTGGTGACCTTGGTTCGGTAGGTAGTATTCAGGAGATGCACGTTTCTCGCAACGTGATTGGCCATCTTCCAGGCCGTACTAACCATATCTAGGAGATTCTTGATCTTGGTCTGCGCTTGGGCCAATCCTCGGATGTGATCCCGCGTGCACTGGATAAAAAATTCCTTTTCCGGCGTGCTTGGCTGTGGGTTCTGCTCCCGATTGGCTGCGATATACCACAGATCAATCCTAGAGTTATCGGGCTTTAGACCTTTGAAAGCGCGGACGTCAAAGACGAGTTCGATCTCTCTTCGGTATGTCATCGACAACGAGGTCCCAACTACGCCTGTAATGGCCCAGCCATGCTGCTTCTCAATTGCTTCGACCCGGGCTATGTTATGTTAGCTCTCCATCATAGTAAATTTTAGACTAAAAGAAATACTAACCTTTGAGGGCGCTGACTTCATTAGAGGTCCAACCCCTACATTGCTCACGAACTTTTTCAGCTTCTTCTATATCAGCAACGCATTCCTTCTTCTTTTGTGATAGCTCGCCGATTCCAGATTCAGTCTCGCTCAGTTGCTGCCTTAGTTGCTCGATTTTCTTCAGTTTCGCTTCGATATCCGAGTCAAGGTCTGTCAGCTCGGATCGAGCAACTTGTAAATCTTCGGGGTCGCAATCCGCTAGCTCCTGCGCAGCAGATTGCAAATTATCATGTTCTAGCTCTAATGATGCGAGCTGCTCCACTAGCTTGGGCAAAATCGAATCGAGTAATTCCTGCTCCTGGTGCAATAGCTGCTCGTCGGCTGCCATACCTTCTTCGATCTTTAGTAGGCCCTCCTTGAGCCCATCTTGAAGTTTCATGCGCCATTCATACCACATGGCTTTACTTAGTAGTCGTGCATGCGACTTGACGTTCTTGAACTGATTGTCTAGGAAAAGCTTGTACTCGGGCGTTGCAGTGATGTATTCCTTGAAAAGTGGCGGGTTCTCTTCCAGAGTCTCTGTTTCGATCTCACGAACTATTCTCCTGCCTTCTGAAATATATTTTTTTAGTTCTCGGCAGGACTATTAACAATTAGTATCTCGCGGTTCTCAAAGTTCAAGGCATCCCTTACATGTTGGTACAATTCTAGCATAGGAACCGTACAAGCACCTGCTACGACGCATTGCTCTAGGGACATATCTTCCTCTTCGGACGCAGCGTTATCTGCTACGTTGGCGGGAGCTTGAGTGTGTCGCCGTTTTGTTGTCGTTAACTCCATGAAGCGAATATTTGTCATATTCAAGAAGTCTTGTAGATGCATTTGCTCTCCGTCATCATCCACCTGAGCTTCGGCATCAGTCATGACATGAGACTCGTCAAAATTGAGAGTACTAGTAGGATGATTGGAGTCGACTTCTTTGAAGCGTCCTCTGGCATGAGGAGATGGTACGCCTGTAGGTGTTTTCTTAGGCGAAAATACTGGTGTTGAAGTGGCCCTATTGTCGCTGATGTCCTCTAAACCTTTGCTGGAAGAGCGAGTCACTCGCCCCGTCGTTTCGGCTTTCGAAGGAGGTGCATGTAGGCGTACGTTCTTGACGGGGCTGCTCTGATGATTCTTGAGTCGCTTGATTCCATCCCTTTCCTCAGCTTCCTCTTCGTCGTCAAGCTCGGCAGGACGTTTTCCAAGAAGGCCTTTAGCACTGCCTACATGCAGACTTTTCCGTCCCTTCATAAAATTTTTCTTGGGAGTCATACTAGAGATCATATCTTTTAGACTTGCTGTATTTTCTTCGTCTCCGTCGACTTCCCTCTCAAGTACTTTGCGGCCATTTTCCTTGTCTGCTTCCAGTTGGCGATCACGGTCTACTTCATATTCCATAACACGGGGGTCCGCGAAGGCAACCGATCTTGAGGGTTCGCGGGGAACAAAGCTATCTGCCGCATCGCCAATGGATTCACGCCGGTCAAAGATAGCGGCCACCTTCGGTGATCCGAGACCAGGCCTATCAGCACCTACACCTGACAGTCGCCTCTTCTGAGGGGTCAGGATAACCCGCGGTGTCGACACCCCAGTCTTAGGATCCTGTTGGAAAACAGACAACTGGCTCTTTTTAGAAGCGGATTTGGGCGTAGAGGATACACCAGAACCATTTTTGCTGGCCGTAGCAGGTGATTTTGGCATCCTCAAGGGCGAATTTCTCAATGGGGTTCTGGGTCCCTGGGTGTTGGGAGTGCCCACGTTGGTTGGATTTGTAGATTTAGGTGTCGTTACCTCTCGAACAGGCGAACTGCCCGGTGTGACAGACCTCCGCCATTCACTAGTACGACGAAGTCCTTTGCCTTTAAACGCGGATAATGCAGGGCTTCCCGACTCTGATACGTTCGTACCAGAAATAACTGCGGATAGGCGTCGCTTTGCGGACGAGTTTAATGCTGGTACATTGTCATCTTCATCAACCTCCCGTTCCATCTGGCGCCTGGCTTCAATCCGGTCCTTTGCTGAAGGTGGGCCCTTGATGATTCCGCCCATCGCCATGGTCATGTCCATGCCCATTGTAGCATCTTCATCGTTCTCGTCATCCTCATTAGAGGGAAGAATACGGCCCATTCCGACTGTCATGTCCATTGCTGTCATGTCCACCGTTGCTTCGTCATCGGCAGCAATGGTACGACGTCGGTCTTGAGACGCTTTCTTTGTAGAGGCATCGAGTCTTTTCCCAGAAAGAACACCACCTACGACAGAAGTGAACTCCATTGACATGTCCTCGTCTTCATAATCATCATCGGGATCAAAGAGGTCCTTGTCGGGTTGCGAGTCTTTCCGAATACCACCAACCGCAACAGTAAAATCCATAGGGGCATCCTCGATCAAGGATTCCTCTTCAGTTTTGGTTGGACTAGTTGGCTGTGTATTCCGCGCGTTGTTAAGCGAAGGGAGAATGCCACCAAGCGCTCGAGTGACATCCATCGACATCTCTTCCTCTTGGGCATCTTCTAGGGAATCAGCGTTGGCTTTAATGATACCACCAACAGCATTTGTCATGTCCATATCCATGTCCATGTCAATACCACCGGTGTCTTCTTGCCCAGCATTCTCTTGATTTTGGGTAGGGCTCGCTTGTTTCGGAGCGGGCTTTTTGGCCCACCCAAATGATGGTATAATCTCTTCCTCTTCGTCGAGGCTCTGAGTTTCGGCGCGACGAGATGCGAGTCGGAGAGCTGTGTCTAATGTGTCATTAGAGTCATTAGTCATAGCCGACCGAGCCGACATAGCAGATGCGACGGAGGTGCCGGTAACCTCATCGACGTCCAGGTCCATGGATACACCGTCGGCATCGGAGTCGCTACCGGAATCTGAACCAATCTCTTCATGGGTTTCTATCACATCATCCGTTCCCTCGGAGTCTGAACTATAGATACTTGAGGCCATCGTGTCATCGTTCTGGTTGAAACCTAGGTTGCTGACGCCCGAGCTTCTGCGTCTTCTCTGGTCATGCGTATCTTGTTGCTCTGGCGAATTGGGAACTAAATCTTCAGCTTGATCTGCGTGACTAGATCGTGAATCAGATGCTTGTCCCTGAGCGGCGAGCGACGATGCTCGTCTTGTAGAGTCAGTCGAGGTTGTAGAATCTTGCATATACTCGACTTCATGAAAAGTATGAAGGGTAGCTTCAGCTGCAAACGAGACTCTTCGATTAGCAAGAGATTTTCTTCGAGCCTCTCGTCGATCATTAATCTCCTTTTCCATCTCTGCTCTTTCTCGTTCTTCTCTTTCACGTGCAGCAGCCTGTTGTTCCTCTTCGGTGCGTACGGCGATCTTTGTTCCTGATGATCCAGAGTCGTTGGTTTGAAATGGGTTAGGTAACTTGTCTGCTCCTTGGGTGGTAGACGAGGCAGGCGAATTCCGGGCAGGTTTTTTGGATTTGAAGGAGGGGATCTCCGGTAGTAATGGCATCGTGGGCTTAAGAATTGATCTTGGGGGTGGTCTGGTGGGAGCTGCTAAAGACTGTTTTGAGAGTATAAGTTGGCTATGCGCTTTAGGGCTATTAGGAGTTGGGGGACATACCACACGTCTGTTACCCGATCCTGGCTTTAGAGCATCCAATCCACCGGGACCTATACTCTTGCTTCGTGACTTCTTTCTACCCCCATTACCGGCTAAAGAACTAGCTACGTCGACAGTGATGTTTTCTTTCTCCATCTTCTTCCGCCCAGGCGACAATCCGACTGACTTTCTTGTTCGTCGCGTGGACGGGATGGTTGCGTCGTTGCGACCAGACATATTGGTAACAAAAACGGATATAGGTTTATGTTAAGTTTCGGCAAGGGAGGGAGAGATGTCCCATAGTCTAAGATGTTACTACCGTTAAGGAGTTATCGTACTGCGTTACTGGCAGGTCAAATGGAAGAATCGCAATGTCCTAAGTCTGTATAGGAACTCTATGAGCTAAAAGTTGTAAGGAATGTAGAGATGCCTCATCAACTCTGTATGTATGTATGTAGGCGCGTTTGATGTAGATAACGTCGAGCTAAATTGATTCCCATAGGCTCGCGTCAATTGAGACTAGGGTTGTTTGTAAACATTGAACATTACGTTGGTGGGGTTTCATTACGATAAAGGATCCACTCAGTCTATCTAACTTTTATCGTTATGCGTTATGGGTGGTCTGAGCGCCATTTCAAGGTGCCCTTACAGATGTACCTAGGTACCTCATACCCCTACCAATACTAGCGTCGAAGCCACAACGGGGCTGAACCTCTCTACCATGGTGGATCCCCACACATCCCACAAGCGAGCCCACACAATAACTTTTTGAGATTTTTCCTATTTTCAATCTTGGTAAGTTTCCGCAAAATCGCAACCACCACCACAACAACACCACGATTCCCGATCCCAACCACCTTTGCGACCTCGACAACACATCGCAAAAATGGCGACGGAATTGACTGTTCAGTCGGAGCGTGCTTTCCAGAAGCAGCCCCATATCTTCCAGAACTCCAAGGTCAAGGCCAAGTCCACGAGACCCGGCAAGGTGAGGCGACACCATTCATCTGTTTGTTCTACTAACAAGGTCAATGTGCTAACGAATCTCCTCTCCAGGGTGGTCGACGATGGTACAAGGATGTCGGTCTAGGCTTCCGAACCCCCAAGACCGCGATTGACGGCAGCTACATCGGTATGTGATAATATATGAAGATTTTTGGAAGAAGGATTTAGGATTATTTATGTCGCGCCGGCTGCATTATACGAATCGCCTCGAGAAATACTCAGAACCATGCGAAGCTCGCGACTCGATATGCCGAATTTTAAGAAAAATTGTACCAGAAATATGAAGCTAATTCTACTTTCAACATAGACAAGAAGTGCCCCTTCACTGGTCTCGTCTCCATCCGTGGCCGTATCCTGACCGGCACCGTTGTCTCCACCAAGATGCACCGAACCGTCATCATTCGACGCGAGTACCTCAAGTTCATCCCCAAGTATGCCCGATACGAGAAGCGACACAAGAACTTGGCCGCGCACGTCTCTCCCGCTTTCCGTGTTGAGGAGGGTGACCAAGTCACAGTCGGCCAATGCCGACCTCTTAGCAAGACTGTACGTTATTCCTATCGCCCTACGAGCTATGTGGGATCTATGCTACGAATAATGCTTCCGAGGGTTGAAACAAATTACTGATTAGTACGGTATATAGGTCCGATTCAACGTTCTTCGTGTGCTTCCCCGAACCGGCAAGGCGGTGAAGAAGTTCAGCAAGTTCTAAGTTGGGGATCTTTCCTGGGCATCGATGGCGTTGTTACTTCATGGTTCTTCACGATCTCAGATACGGAACGGGTGATTCATAGGCTTTCTGCTAGTGCACAGAGATGCAACATTGGCAGTTCTGAGAAATAAAAAGGATATACCAGACGCATCGTTTTGTTTTCCAACGGCGTGAATATGGTTTGCTATAGCTTACCTCTGATATACAAGCGACCAGCTTGACAAGGAATCCTCTAGGATTTCTTAATTCTGTTTGCCGAGCCTCCAGGTGGATCGAGACCGCGGTATTATTGGAGGTCCATTCTGAGTTTGTATCCGCAATAGATTCACTATGAAATTCATCGGTTGCCTACGGTATCCTGACTGACCGATTCTTCGCGACCATTAGTCTTCGGCTTATTTGACTAGGACACCTCCTTGCTAGGCATGTAGGTAGTTGAATTAACAAGAGATGTAAAAGATATAGTAACACGGGCGAAGTTATCAAGGCCGATTCCCTCAAACCATATGGCAAAGCCATTGTTAGATATTTCACCCTGTGAGGCGGTAAGCATATCGTTTTAAGACTTCTCATATCCATCACCCTCAAGGATATAATACTCGCCAATTAAATATCGGGCACTAAGCATACCAACGTTTTCATTGAGTTCATGTAGGTAGGCTAGCTTCTCAGACCCCTTTGCTTTTCCCGTAGAATTTCACCTGCACTTGGGCAATACTGCTTGAGGTAACTATAGGCGGTATCGCCAATCGGTTGAATCACGCTTTCATTGAATCCAGCATTGAGCGGCTGTATCCTATAAATCGCTCCCTCTGCCGAGACAGATGATATAGCTTTACCCATTCTGTCCCGCCTCAGCGCCCTTGGCCGCCTTATAGATAATTCCCTAACCGAATAAACAGCCAGTATAAGTTAGAATTGGCATGTAACATGAAGCGGATGTGCAGATAACACCCGCTCGATCTATTCATAGGTAGGGTCCAAGTGAAACCTATGGAAGCTTCTAAATCAAGTTTTATCTTCTCTCCGTTTTATTACGAGGCATGTGTAAGTTATGCTACTGGCCCTTCTCTTGAAGTGTGCTACCACAGCTTTCAGATCCTTCAAGCTATTAGAACGCCCTGTACGATCTAGCTTGGTGGCTAGATCAGCGTAGTATATCTCTTCTAGCGAGCGGATAGAGTCCTCTAATATATGATAGGGCACACAAAGCCTTTCCGGGGGTTATACCAAGGCATCCTGCATCTACTTGATCCTACTTGTACAACTCTGTCGGATGCTATCGGTATTTCCTGATCCCAATATGCATTACAATATCAACACGGCTTAAAAAGCCACGTAAATCGTTGATTCGACGCCTTCTCTATCGCGATACTTGTTTACTGCACGACTTAAGGTACTACATCAACGTTGTTATACTTCCTCCCACGCTACCCCATAACCGCTCATTCTTCTCATGTTCTAATTTTAGCCACCATGCCTCCTACTTGAGATGCCCCCCTCTTTTTATATTTCAGCCCTATGCTACAATAGCGGAGGGTCGATAATGCAATATGTATTCAGCTAAGCTGCTGTTACTACTCTATATACTTTAGGTAATAAAATATAGCGATCAAAAGAAACATGGCTTCATCCCCGATGCATCGCCGCTATAACGCCTTGATGAGCATTTCATGAAGGCAGCCCGGATTTGACAATGGCTAGGGTTTTCCAAGTAGCCTTTGCTATTGCCCCCTGTTTCTTCGCATGCTCGGATCGAACGCCATTGACGATATCAAAGACGATATACAGAATTTAAGACCTCCTTCCAGTCATAATAACCTCGTGAAAAAAAAAAAAACTTGGAATACTACCTATATTAGTATGACTAGCTCATAGAGTAACTCGGCCTGGATAATCAATGAATTCATAGGAAAGACCAAACTGGACGGAATACCCCACGGGAATCGCTGCAAGTGGCTTCAGCCTGGTACCTAAGTACGTGTTATTCGTGGAGATCTCTTAGGAGATCGGTATAAAGAAAGGGAAAGAGGCGTAATGGCTTTATGTTGCACTACAGTCCATGGTGTGTCCAAGCCCAGATGATACCGGAGTCTTAGCCGTGTTCAAGCGGATAGCTGCAGAGCCACGAGTCACCCTGGTCACTGTAATTGCAAGTATTCGTAAGCATTGTTATTATCAATTTTCATTAGCAGTAGGTAGGTAGTTATGGTAGAATATGGGGTATAAGCATTCCAATACCTATATCCTCTTCTCCTTCTAGACCAGAAATCTTTGTATTCTAGTTACTTATCTAAACTTTACACATCTAGTATTGCCCTTTTGGGGGCTAATAAATCGAGTTCATAGGTACCTAGCTATGGATAATTTTAGCAATGATAATCCAGGGAACTTAGGCCCTTCCCTGCTCGCTGTTGAATGGTTATTTACTAGTATATCGACGCTAGTTGTTGCCTTACGACTTTACGTTCGTCTGCGTGTCTTACGGAAGTTCAATATTGACGATTGTATGATTATTATTACTTTAGTAAGTTAATGGTTCTGTTTCGTGAGCCGAGTTCCCGCAATAGCTTACAGATGATCATATTCTAGCTATGTGCCATAGGCAATGCCGTATTTATCACAATCGCAGTCTCTTGGGGCTTTGGGAAGCACATGAGTAGTCTCGCGTCTAATCCCATCGCCGTCATGAATTCCACAAAATGGTCATACTTGTGCGAATTCTTTCTTATCATGACACCCCAATTCGGTCGCATCTCCTATGCTTTCCTACTGTCGAATCTAATCCCACCATCTAAGTCACGGCGAACATTCCTATGGGTTTTGGTTAGTATCCATTTTGTGGTTGATGTTGTGATGGTCGTTGTATCCTTCGCGCAATGCCGGCCATTTAGGGGTTTCTGGGATAGGAGTATTGAAGCCGACTGCTGGCCTCCGACTATACAGCTGTATACGAGTTACGCTCAAGGCTGTAAGTGGCTAACTCGAGAGCTTCTAGGTGTAAAACTTTCTAATTAGTAGTAGCCTTAGGTTCCGTAGTTGACTTGGTCATGGCTATGTTCCCGTGTAGTCTTTTCTGGAATTTAAACATGCACTGGAAGCAGAAAGCTTTCTTAAGTTCAATAATGGGGCTTGGAGTATTGTAAGTCATTCATAGAGTGCACCCTTATAGCTTTGAAAAGACAATTCATTAACACGTTTTAGTGCTATGATCGCTTCCATCGTCAAAACAGTCGAACTCCAAGCTCTTACACATACTAATGACCTAACTTGTACGGAAAGAAAATATATTTAAAATTTATCAATCCAAGCTAATGGTATATCTATGCTAGACTTTATGGCGAGACTTATAATCTGCGCAACGTACGTTGACACTATCTTCACCGCATGCCTCAAATGTAGCGTCATATGCTGATAGCTTAGTGCATAGTCTCGAAGGGCACCTCGTACTTCTTTCTGCCTCAATACCGACTGTCACGCCTATATTTAAGCCATCGGGAACCTGTAGCAATGACCGGAGTGGCCGTGTTAACAACATGAATACTTTCCTGTCGTGGAAACACGCTCAGGCAACTAAGTCCAAGGGAAGCCGTGGGCCATTTGAGCCACTCCAAGATCATGGATTGACTACCGAGATTATTGTCAACGAGGAACAAAAGATACCCCAACCTAACGCGTACCTACCGAGGATTTTAGATGTTGGTGATACTAGTGGTAGCGTGACTGGCATAAGAAAAGACATAACGGTATCGATTACATTCAATTCGAGGTCGTAATAAAGCGTATAGTTATAGAGAGCTGAAATATGAGGCATGAAGTTAAACATATCTCCGATGTAGCCTGTGGTTACGAGTCTAATGGGTTAGTCTTTAATCAAGAGACATTATATTTACTGAGTTTAGTCTCACGACTTGAAAGAATTTCAGTAATTTTATCACAGACTAGAGCAGCGTTAAAATAGGGGAGCTTATGGAATATTCGCGCCCCGATATATAAGAAATTCTTTTTAAATAAGAGATTCTTCTAAATACATATCTACTTCGTAGATCTGATAACGATAACGAATTTTGGCATTGCGCACCTCTCGAGTTTCTAAGCTTCTTCGCAAAAGAGCTCTATGGAGTGAATCGACAATTAACTTTATATAGACCTCGTGATCTGCCATGGGCTGGTGGGATAGTCTCTGGGCGTCGAGCTCGAACAACGACCCGCTGCGAAAGCTCGACCCGAAGCTCCGCGAATTCCTCGAGCGAGAATCACCTGTGAAATACAGCGCCGCGCAGGAATCACAACCCCGCGCAAAAGAGGAGCAAGCGGCTACGACGATAAGGGAGGTAGAAGAAAAGCAGAAAAAAGCACCAGTTGTTCCAAAGGAAAGTCAATTCCAAGATGGCAGATATGCGCATTTGTGGAAGACATACAGGCCGTTAGCCGAGATCGAGGCCGAGACCAAGAGCGATCACGAAAAGCTAATGGATGTGCTGGAGGGGTATAAAGAGCGCAAGAGCCAGATTGGCAAGGCGGCGCTAGAGAACTGCGCACTCGAACAGGTCGACTGGAGGCAGTGCATGGCGAATCCGACAATGACGGAGCGTATGACTATGTGCCGCGATCAGATCAGGAAGTTTGAGAAGTGCTACATGACGCAGACTGTAGGTGAACCGTCTTTTTCTCCTTTCCCTATCTTGACCTTTAGAAGAGCTATGCTGACTGTAACTATCTATTTGCTGTAAATAGAGACTACTAAAAGCCTTGGGTTACCTATCAACACTCGACCGCTCTCCCGAAGCCGAAGAAGAGATTCAAATGCATGCCGACACACTATACCACCGCATGCTATCGCAAGAGGCCGAGATCACTGCAGCAAGGGAGGAGGGTCGTCCAATTCCTCGGTTCCCCCCGATAATACCGAGACTAGAACAACGGCAACAACAAACTCAGCAGCCGGTAGAAGAGTTAACACCAGAACAGCAGGAGACTCTAAAGGCGCGGTTAAAGAAAGTGGCCGAGGAAGACCGAGCCGCGGAAGAAGAGGCCGTCAGGGCGGAGTTCCGCGTCAAGGCCGAAGTCGCATCGCGGGTGCAGGACTTGTGGAAGCAGCAGGAGCAAGAAAGACAAGCGCGAAAGGCGAGGGGTGAGGAGACGCTGTGGGATAAGGTCACTGGAACTTTTCGTAGTGATAACCGGAAATGATATACCGTATCCTAAGTCTATACGTATGCTGCGATATGAAGTTCACGACGCATTGAAGGGATAATACGTATTATGTAACTCTCGCCTCTAGTCTAGGGGGGTGCGATTGTATTATACTTGTATTGACTACTCACGTTTATACCTGTGTACATTGCAATTCTCGAGAAAATAGTAGAAGCCACTATTAATGTAGGTTGATAGGGGCAGAGATCTGATCGGCTGGGTTTAGTATGAACAAAAAGAACAATTAAATCCCCCAATTCTAGCTAAATAAAATAGTATAATTCCAATGTACGGAAGAGCAGCGAATTTATATGCCGGATTCGACAAAATCGACAAAAAGATACACACGACATGATTTAACATATAGATAGGTAGTATGCGAAAAAAGCAAAATGAAAGGTCTCCCTGGGAATCGAACCCAGATTGGCGGAATCAGAATCCGCAGTGCTAGCCATTACACCAGGAAACCATGTGACGGTTGTGATTGGACCAATTAATGATTTTCGGTTTCGATAATTCGACTTATATCCGTGGTACTAATTTGCCAAAAACCGTTTGTCATAGTAACGTCTTGGCGCGAAGCTATCGTTAGGGTTTGCGGTCTTCACGTTACCTAGGTACATACAAACTACCTACAGCATAAACAGTAAATACATACGGCGTTAAAGAATTAGGTACTGGTATCATCACATATATTTTTTGCTAGAATAACTTCCATGTTCTAGCCTCGGCTACCTAGATTTAGCTTTATGGCCTGAAGAAATGGCTATGAACTCATACGAGGCAGGTAATCCACACGCTCCCCTTAACTCCACTAGATCTAACCTAGCCCACTACACTCTCTATATACTCCATCACCCCATTAGACTGCTTCAGATCCGCATAGCTCTCCAGCTTCAGCGCCGCCTCAATCTCATCCGCATCGGGTATCGGCGTCCTGTCATACTTCACCGGCCCGTCTGAGATCGAGTGCGGGATGAACCACGACCCGTTCGTCGTGATCGGCGTCTTGTCCTCGCGGATCCCCATCCCCGCTACGTCGCCGTCGATGAACCATAGGCCTAGGACCGGGTAGTACGACGTGTCCTGCTTGTCCTTGAACTCGGGCAGCAGTGCGAGCTCTTGGATGATGTAGCCTTCCTTGCCGTAGTACCCGGTTGTCGCATCTTGGATCACGTGTCCGTCCGACTGCAGCAGGACGTCGGCGCCCTCGCGCGCGAAGATCGGCTTCCGTGCGAACCGGGTTAGCGAGGCAGGTGCTTCGTTCTCGAAGTATGTCGGGAGCAGCCATTTGGATCGGGGGTCGTCCTTGAAGAGGTCCCATAAGATGGCGAAGAGGGCCTTGTTGCTCCAGAGCATCTTGTACGGCGGCTCGATCCAGACCGTGCCGCCGATGTATTCGCCGGCCGCGCTGCGCTGCCCGACCCGCTCCATGTCCTTGAAGCATGCTTCTCCGAAGTCTTGCTCCACCATGAACTCCCACGGGTAGAGCTTGAAGATGACGTCGATGTGCTGGCCGTCTTGGTCGAAGAACCGACCGTCGGGGGACTTGGCGATCTGCTCTACGTACATGGACTTGGTGGCCCATCCTGCTTGCTGGCAAGTGTCCATTAGCAGCGTGGTGTTCATGGCATCTTCTCCTGTTTGCTCGCCATGTCCGATGGCAAAGTGGACGGTGGGACGATGGCCTAACGTTTTCTCGATCAGAAGTAGGTTCCTCTTCCAGGCGTCGATGAGCTTCTCGGTGATAGAATTGAGTTGGTCGTTTCCATGGCCTGTCTGCTCGAGCCAGAACCATTGTATCGACGCAGCTTCTACGACTGACGTCGGTGTGTCTGCGTTGAACTCGTAAAATTTGGGCACCCGCAGTCTCGGGTCCGGATGGTCGAGCCCACCGAAGCAGATATCGAAACGGCCGTAAATACTCCCCCAGACGGGATCCCGATTCCATGATTCCTTGATCTGCTTGAGTGCGAATGCGGGAATCGCCATTTTGCTTGTGATCACCTCCGGGGTTTCCACGAGGATGTCGGCAGCTTCGCAACACATGGCGAAGACATCTTGCCCGGCTTTCTCAAGAAGCTCGATCTCTTTGCTATTGAAAGAATAGTATCTGTCGTCCGGCCAATATGGGTCTGAGGTATCTCCAGGCGCGGGCGTCTTGCAGTAGACAAGACCTTGGCTCTGGACGAGCCGAGTCGCGTTAGGTCGCTTTTCCACTTGTATACGTCGCATCTTGGTTGTCTATAATACCGATACCTTTACTATGCTAAAGTGTCTAGATCGGCGAATCGCTGAAGATGGTGGGTTTATGTAGGTTAGGTAGTTATTTGCCATAGAGTGCGTTTACGATTATATGTATAGAGTTGGATTGGGAACACACGTTCACCGGAGCAAACAATAACAGGTCATGCTTTCCTTCTGATATCCACTGGCTCGGCCTTGGCTTTTGGGCTCTAACGTAAAATACCAGGAGAAAAGGATTGAAGGAGCTGACGAATGGCAAATCAGGGATGGAGAAGGCTCAGACTACCATATATACAGTCAGCACGACTACCAAATTGTGTACAATCATGTTGATCACATGGGGTGACGAGGGTATCGCGGGGCATGACGGCGCATTGAATGGCACCAGTACCAGTAACTTAACACATCTGGAGACTTCATCCTTCACGCGTCAGCGAAACCCACGGACTTGAACTGACATTCGCCGGCACAGCCCCATGACATCGGCAAACAATGACTTGGCATGGGCAATCATAGGAAAGATCACCCTCACTGGGGTAACTACGGCCGAACAGTCATGGATTTTGATCATAAACCATGTGTCATTACACCGCTACCAAAGAATATATAAACCGGACCTCTCCCAGCCATCCCAAGCCTCAAGAAGAGAACAATAAACCCACATCTTCGAGGTCTCAATCCCAAAACTCTCTATCTTCAAACTTCCATCCATCTATCATACCAAACAAACAAACAAACAACCAACCAACCAACCATACACCCAAGCCTCAACTAGGTGTCTACCACCACCATGAAGCGTCAGCACATCGCCCTGCCGACCCTCCAAGTCGCCGCAGCGGCCTTCTTCGCAGCCTCCGTCCAAGCCGAGACGTACTGCGTAGACGGAGCCACCAAGGTCGTCGCCAAGACCGAGTGCGACGCCGACACCGCGCGCGCCGTCGGCCAATTCTTCCTTCACCAGGGCCCTCCCGGCTTGACCGTCGGCGAAGTGATTCCCCCTCCGGCCGAGCCGGGCCACGTCTCCGGAGGCTTCGGCCGCCGCTCCGACGACAACTGCGATCCGAACAAGGACAAGGACTGCCACAGCGGCGGTTAAATAAGTCCCGTCCGTCTATCTATCTACCGCCGGCCTTCCATGCATACGTCCTACCTACCTACCTACCTAGTCGCGGAGGCTTAGCGAGAGATCTCGGGTTGTTTTCTTTATACCCATCATGCACACGTACACACGCACACGCACACGCACATGTATGCACGATCAAGCTCGGGTGTGGAAATGGGGGCGATATTCAGGGATTTCAGGAGAAACGGGTGGGGTGTGTTCAGGGGCCAAGTCTTGCAAGGCTGAGGGGAGGTGAAGGGACTTTGTGTGAACTGATACCGGGCCTATGCATACCTTATACATACATAGCTACCAGTACCTCGTTTGATATCTTTACGACAGGACGAAATACACTCTCGATATATCCTTACTGTGACATATTATAGTCTTTACAGATGCCAGTGACTGTATAATGTAGTTAGTATAATTGTGATGTTAGATTTGTTCCATTTTGCGATGTTGCGAGCAGAGACACGTAGTTTGCGATCCCATATATTGAGGCATGCTTTATATAAGGTAGACGACTGTTGAAATGTACCTAGTGTATGGTATGTTACCTGTTAGGGTCCAGGCATGCATGAGGGAAGGATGGCGAAATCAAGGTCCCATTTGATGCCAGTTGTCGATGCGCCGCCAAGAACCAAGAGCCAAGAGCCAAGAGATCGCCAAGGCATGAGGCAAATGCTTAATTCGACTGACGAACCCCCGAATAGAGCAGATCAATCCTTTTAGCTTCCTTCGGCCGTCATTTTCTTATCCCTAGCATCCTTCTGGACTAAAATTTAACGGCTGGGACCGAACCTCAGTATGGGGATATGGGGTATTCAACGTCAGCGTAACCACGAACAGCGTCGTGAAGTATTGCGAAGGAAGAAAATATAGCGCAAGTACTTATATCGACTAGCTGAAGACTGAAATGGTGGTATATTATTCAGGTTCTACCCTTATTTCTTACTTTCTATCTTTGGAGCTGGCGCCATTGAGGAGTAGTTCGACTTCAATGTTGCTTAACTGATCATTAAGGTCACCAAAGATCATCGACATCAGCGTCAACGTCAGCGTCAGCACCAGCATTACAGTTTAAATGGAAGAAATCACGGAAGAAGAAAGCTGTTAGGATTAAACGTGGAACGGAAATTAATGAAAAAAAACATCGAATTTTTTTTATAGGAATAATTCTATTGATAAGACTCCGCACTACCAAAATTCAGAGTTCGCCCCGCTTGCTACCATCATCACTAGGAAATACCGGTCCTTTCTCTCGATCCCGAATGCCGCGATATTGTCGGAGGCCTAGATGCTTGCGCTGACTCATCCGTGCATGAGTATTTCTTCACGGTTATAGTAGGCGGGGTACGAGTATGAGTTTTCCGTGCAACATGTCAATTGGTTGTGGTGCTCGTTCCACTGCATCGCGGGGACTTTCAATCCGACTGCTCAAGCAAGTGTAGTAGAGAGTGTGTCGGCAGTCGAGTGGCGAGGCCGTCTAGCAGCAGCCCTCGTCGCAGGCGCAAAGACCGCAGCAGATCTCGCAACCAGCCTGCAATAAGTCAATGTTTGAGACTCTTGGGGTTATTCAGAGAAGAACAAGCTTACCTCTTCACCACCACGCATGCTGCCGAACTCGGGCTGGGGTTCAGCGGCCTGTTTTAATGTCAATTGGACTGCCTTCTGTAACCCGAAGGGGATGGGGAAAGGGAAACCTACAGGCTGCTGCGTAACGACGCCGTCGACGGGAGTCATCTCCATGGGAGCTTGCTGCTGGGGCTCTTGAGGGGAAGGCATGTTGATAAGTCTTTCGAAAAGAATCGATGGTAGGAAATGACTGGGTAATTGATTGCAAATGGGCGACGAAGACGATGGTGATGGTAGCAAGGAACTAAACAGGATTTCGAGAGCGGTGAGGAATCTGTTTCGTATGTGAGAGAGTGAAAGAAGGAAACAAGTGTCCTTTTTCTAGGTAGCTGACGGATATAGCGGCAACACGGGAGGCAGCCCAATGATCCTATGGCTGGCAACTACGATGTGGATGTACAAGATACCTCACATCCACACGTCGCAAACAAGGGGAAGGAGAGGGGCTTAGAACCCCAGACCGTGACTAACCTATCCTGATTTTTAGGGACCTATACATATGGAAACCTTGACTTGTGATGGAAGGCGCACAACGCCTATCGCGCGCCTAGCCAAAATCTGCTCGCTTCAAAAGCTTAATGGTGTTAGTCTGACCCTAGTCGGGACGATCCCCCATTATGTAGAAACATGCGGCAAGAGTACCGGGCATGCACGGACGACAAGTCAATAGGAAAGTACATACTACATAGGTGAGCCGGTTGGCGGTGACAGTACCTACTTCACCAATTCATACATGTTGATAGTAATGATGGTGGTCAGTCCTGTCGTAATCAACAGCACACATAGTCTAATCCAATAGGTGCAGACGTCCCATTGAAAAGGTGCCGTCTAGCCAACCATCTGCATGGAACTCCAATCGGACTGGAGTTGCAGCTCGTACTGAACCAATCATCTGCCCACGATGCCCAATTCAAGCTACTCAATACGGGCAAGTTAGGTAGGAGCTGGTTTGTTTCTAGGACGTGATAAGTCGTCGTCCCTGATCCATATTCAGCTGAAAATTAATGACTTGTCATGCAGGCAGTGCTTATATTCAAGTTGTTTGGTAAGGTAGCATTATAGGTCAGGTACACTCATATGATAGATACCTAGGACTGTTTAATATGTGATGTCTTAAGTTTCAGGTCTGGACTAACGTCACATGGAACTTTGAAATTCACCGTATTCTGAATAATTCAATTGGTTAACTGGAAGATTATAGTGGTGGCTTCGACCTTTGTACTTGTTTGTCGTATCTATGTAAACTGCCAACCCTGTTTAGTTAATTCCTCGTCATTCTCCACGAATCCATCGGCAGTAATACACGTAAACTGGGGCAGTGTGTCGTATGTTACTTAGGTACCTAACATTAATTTCATAGAGAGAATTCTGATTGGCTTAGAAGCCGACTAGCCTATCGTACGCGTGTACTATGTACATGTATCTTGCTTACATGTAGGTAATATGTAAATTAGTATCGAAATAGCCGTTTAGATACAAGATAAGCTAAAGTCATCAATTGCTTCCCTGTTTAGGCCTTAAAAGACAAATGTCTTAAATGGGTAACATTTTCTGTTCCCTAATCCTGATATCAGGGAGTATAAGTGACCCGACCTATGCCCCGTTCCCCACCTAACTTCACTTAACTTATGCAGAGGCAATTTGTGTAAAAAACCTGATATAACTTATCTTGTATAAAAGTTTAGTAAACTTATGGAATAAAATTTATTTAATTTATAAACTTTTATTATAAACTTTTACTATTTTTATACCGCATTATTAATGGGTATTTATTAAATAATTACGTATTAAAATAATAAATTTTTATAAAATATATTTATTTATATAAATAATAATTTAAATAATAAAAAATAACTAATTATTTAAATAATAAAAATTTTATTAATTTTAATTAAAATGAAAATATTTAAAGTAAATATTTATTATTATTTAGTTAATGTTTATAAAATATTTATAAAAAAATTATAAATTATTAAATATAAATTTTACCTTTATTTATGTTATAAATAAATATATTTTTTAATTTATTAATTTATTTTAATTTTTAATATATTTTTAATAAATTTTTATTAATAAATTAAACCGTAATTTAAAATAATGTTTTAATAAAAAACAAAGTTTAAAAAAATGTTATATAATATTTAAAAACTATTAAATTTTTATTAAAAATTTTATAATTAATATTAATTGAAAAAATTATATTAAATAATAGTTTATAATATAATAATACTATTTATATTAATTATATTTACGTTATAATTATTTTTTTTATATATTTAAAAATATATTTTAATAATATATTTTATATATACTTTATATAAATATTTATTAAAAAATTTTAAAATTATTTATAAATTAATATTAATTTTTTTAAAATTTATAAAAATTATTTACCAAGTATTTAACAATAATTAACTGTTTATAAATGTAATATAATATAAAAAATAAATATTTAATAAAGTATATTATTTTAATATTATTAAATAATACTTTTATAATTAAATTTATTTAAAAATATATTAAAATTAAAATTTATTTATATTTATATTTAAATATTAAAAATTACTATTATAAATAAATTTAAAATAATAAACTTATATAAGTAAAAATTATTAAATTTAATAAAATATATAATAAATATTTAATAATAATTAAATCAATTATTTTTAATTAAACAACTTATAAATATTAAAAAAATAACATAATATATTATAAAAAACTTATTAAAAACTTAACAAAAATATTTATTAAAAACTTTCCGTAATAAATTTATAATTTAAAAATTATAATAAAAAATAAAAATAAAATATATACTCATTTTATATTTATTAAAATTTTATTAAATACTTTTTTAATATTTTAATAATAAACCTTAATTATAAATAAAATATTACAATTTAACAATTAACCCATTTAACCATATATATAAAAAAATTCCATTTTATTTTAAAAGATTTTATTTCGAAAATTATTTTTTTATAAACTATATTATTACCAACAATCATTTAAATCAGTTTTTACTAAATAATTTTAAATTTTAAAAAATAATTTTTTAAAAAAAAAATTATTATAATATAATAAATATTATAATATTATAAACCTTTAAATATTATAAATATTTATTAAATTTTTTTAATATTTTTTATAAATATTTATTAACTTTTTACGCAACAATTTTCCATATTAATAATAACATAAAATTAAAACGCATAAATTACAAAATCATATTCCAATAATATTTTCTATTAAATAAATAATAATATTTTTAAAAATATTTAATAATTTATAAAAAACATACGCATCCGTTAAACCAACTTAAAAATCAACCAAAAAATATAATTTATTAAATAGTTTTTACG